AATCATTAAAACCGAACGAATTCAACGATGAACGAAACGTTTTACAAATTTATTAAACGACCATCTTGCATTTAACACGACTGCCTTATCATTCAGACGAATGCCTTTGGCTCTCGAAAAGCTCGAGGTAACCGGCTTTCACGTCACTAACATGAGTGTATTAACATACTAACGAGCACCTTGACAAACATGATCCTCCAAGATCCTAGAACGTTTCTCCACCTACTCGTCATAAATAAAAAGCACCTATCGAGTATCCACTGTCAGCACCGGAAGCTCGTCTTCTTCATGGGAATGCCGGTCGGTCCGTCGACGAACTCGCAGATGTTGAAGCCGAGCCTGACCAAGGGATGGCAGTTGCTCTTCGGGTTGCCCCATTTGCCCTTGAAATTCATCCAGCCCGGCAGGACGCTGTCCTCCTCCTTCAGCAGCAACTCTATCTTCTTCCACGTGGGCCAGGCGGTGCCGAAGCCGCTCTCATCGTACAGTCTGGGCAACCTGACGAACTTGTGCTTGCCGGGCGCGGTCCATAGCCCGTGGGAGCCGCGCGCGCTGAACAGTATCGGATGGGAACCGCTGGCGGTGAATACCCTTTCCGGGAATATAGGCTTCTGGAAGATCCCCTTGCGCGTCTCCTGGCTCTCGTAGACGAAGGTGCCGCTCCGCGGGTCGTACCTGTAGAACGCGCCTGCGTCATGGGCGGACACGTACATGGCGGAGGGATAATTGGCGTCCTACAAATCGAACACAAAAGCTGACGAGGGAGCTTCGGGGACGCGGCCCGGAACGACACGCCGGGCGCTTTCTAATAATGAATTACGCGGCCGCCTCCGTTCCTTACCTTAAAATACAGGCTCATGTGCTCCCAATCGCCCACGTGGCTGCCGTACTCCTTCAGCATGCCGAGGCACACGCCGCCTACGGTGGGTATCGGCCAGGTACCAAAAAATCCGAGATCCAGAACGCAGACTGCCTTTCCCTCGCTGAACGGGTAGAACATCCAATAGGTCACGTGAAAGCGCGGCTTCCGGGACCTGTTCCGTTTTTTCGTCTTTTTCTCGAAATCCCCCATTTTCTGCAAGCGACGTGATCGATCGCGTCAGAGACCGCCAGAATCCTGTCGCCGTGTTTTCACCGGGACCTACCTCTCCGGCGGGCTTCCTCGCCTCGCTCTTCCACGCTTTCCCCGGGACGTCGTTCGTCAAGATCGAGGAGCCGAAATCGGCGACGGGATGATCGCCGTTCCTACGCGACCTCCTCTTCGGCTCACGGACGCCGCTCGAGCCGGCCGTGTCCTCTTGAACCGCGCAATTGTTGATCAACGCGTAAACCGGCACCGAGCTGGCTGGCTTGCGGCCGTATAAGAAGGACGACCGGTTCCTCAGCAACGACTCTGCGGATCGTTTAACGCTGTTAGCACAGAGCCACGTGGTTACTTTAACAGTTTCTTTCGTTAACCAGGAACTGAGAAATTAAAGTTCTTCTTAATAATTGTTCCACTATCTTTCTTACGTCATCAAAAAAATTAATGTCCAAGTTTCTGTAAGAAATAATGTCACCCGAATTCGGGTGTGTTAACCCTTTACGGACGACTGTCATTTAGAGATGAAACGCGTATTTCGAAGACCAAGTTGCAGACGAATGATTTAGTTACTTGGACAGCAGAGATCATCGCGTAGTTTTCTTTGTATTAACCCTTTATAGGACCATGTAACTTGAAGTCAGTATATTGGCATCTTGATTTATTTCATTTTGCACTCAAAATGGCGAATAAAATGAATCCTGCAACTTTTATACGCTCAGGCGTGAAAGTGTAACGTCATTGTAACTTGAAAGTTACGAAATACATTCGTTTGATGAAATTATTGAAACTATTAAATATATTAATTCGTGTTCATATGTGGATATTTATTAATTTCGTACTACATAGATTTTGTTATAATTGTGAACAAAAATTCGATCCATAGAGGGTTAATTAAGCATTCGATGTATAATTCAGCTTTATCTGCTGAAGGTTTTGTATTCAAAGAATCTTCCGCGAAGGGTTAATAGAACTGTCGAGCGCTTAAACCGACCCTTGACAATTTATTTCGAATGACTTTGTTTCAGCTTAGGTATTACTTAATCATCTTTAGTCATTTCTCAAATAGGTGTTCGTGCCGTTTCAGTAATCACGAAGAAAACATCAAAGAATGGGTCATTTTGACCTATCTGGCAGTTCTACCGTTAAGCGGCACGAAAATCCTAGGGACAATGATTCATTGTTTGTCGTTACTATCCTTGTGTATTATCAGCTTAGTCACATTAAACACTTCCATGGGACATCCGTTATCTTGCATGTTGCGATTGTTTCCAAGCAACTCAGTCGATGACCGGCATGGCGTTTATCGTTAACCGTTTGAATCCTTCGCTTAGCTCGCGTAGACAAATGCCAGGTATTATCGAAGCCGATCGAATCTAGTGGGTTTTCTCGGTATGCAATCTGAACAGCGGTACGTGGGACTCAAACGGTTAACCACCTGCGCTGGGAACTTTCTGTTCCAAAATCCTCAATGCCTTTCACACATTGACAATCTTGTCGCATCACGCTTGGAGGTTCTCTCGAAATGTACCACTCTGTACAGAATGATTAACCCACTGCCGCAAACGATTAATGCACTTGTTCATTCAGTGAAACATTGAACAAAAATGAACAGTAGACAACATATAAGTCGACTTTGCGTACGATTATTCACGACCTGAACAAGTCGAAACGAACGATTAAAAAAGGCGTTTCTGAGCACGATTCAAAGCTAAAAGTGTGTGGCAATGGGTCAACGAACAAAATAAAGGATAAATTCGCGATACTTCGTCGAATCTCCGAGTGGGAGATTCAGATTTGATTCTACCCGGTGAAACTATAAAATTTGATGTTTAACCCTTAGCACTCATGGTTTTGTAATCTATCAGCAACTGCAATTTTTATGGTATCTCTAGTGAAATGGAAAATACTGTAACATACCTTCGATCTTTTGATAAAAATCTAATAATTAATAACAAAGAGTCAAATATTTTAATGAATCAAAGAATTTCCAGCGCAAGTGGCTAAATCGCGGTCGCTTTTCATTTACCTACGTCGACTCTGGTGCGAAGGTAATCGTCGTCGGGCTGCATGTGGTCCAGGAAGTCAGGCACCCCGAGGGGCAGGAACTGTTCGCCAGGTGCCAGCCAGACCAGCGGCGCCCACTCCCGTACTAATTCCCTTACTGCAACCAAAGCGACTCGATATCACGAACTGTGTGGAGAATTCAGATAGTTTCTATATTTTTTAGTTCACTTTGAGAGTGAAGGACCTCGGGCGAAGCATCTCGCGTCTCTCGCATCGCGTGATGGAACGGACCCCTTATGCAAAAAGGAAACCATCGAGGAAAGTGGATTCCAGGATAAAACGTGACCAGGCACGATCTGCCATTCTAGCGACATGCGGGACGGGATCACGGGATGCTAAGCACCACGGGACACGCGGCGAGGAATGTCTTTGGCCCTGACTCCTCTCCAACACACTTCCATTCGCAGTCGGAACTGCAATTTCCACGGGAATTTTTCTTTCTCTTAACGACGGTACACTCGGCACGCTGTCATCGAGATGGCAACGGCTATTGAGCAATTATCGAGCGCCGGGATTACTCGACGCGGACTAATTGCATTGTCCGAGGTACGAGGAATCTCGAATCCCGCCGATTAGAAGAGAAACGCGTCGGACGGCCGTGGTATCGCGCGTCGCGAGATACGAGCGTCGAGGCAATAATATAATATGTTTATTAGAAAGCCTGTTCCTAAGCGTTCCCCGTATGTGGTACATAGATTTAGGTAGAAAAAACGAAAAGCCTAGGGGGGATTCTGCTTTCATTAGGTCTCCGGCTGGCGGGAAGCACGCGTTCTACCTCCCGCGCACGGGAACTGTGCAACGGTTGCGTACTTGTGATTTTCATTCAGACGGTCGGCTGTGTTCCAACGTTTGCCTTCTGATCCGTTAAATTAGTAAATAGTTGTTGTATAATAATGAATATTATTATATAATTATATTATATATTATTATATATTATATAATTTTCTAATGATACAGAAGAATATATAATGATAATTATCGTTATGCAATGATTCATTTATATTAACACGTTGAATCATGGAGGTGACCTCCGACCAAATCGAATTACTATAGTTCATTCAATTAAACGATGATTATTCAGAAATATTTCTATATTACAAATAGTGCTAGATAATGCGATATTCAGCTCGATGAATATGCAATAATAACAATGCAATTCGATCGAATGATTTAATATTAAATTCTTTCCGTTTCGTGTATCTTCCTCCGTGAAATCGTGCGGCGTTCAACGTGCTAATTTATATTTAGCCATAATGTAATCTCAATTCCGAGGAACGAACACGATTCTCCTCGAGGTACGGACCGAGCGGCAAGAGCAGCAGCGTGAACGCCGCGAAGAGAAAAAAAAAGGGACAGTTCGCTCGGACGTTGCATTCGGTGAAACGCTTTCACCGTTGACCGTCCACGCTCGTCTGCGTATACAGCGATCATTCATCGTCGTCGAAACCATAATTATTATGTACAACGCCGACACCGCCATATTGGGTGTTACGGCGCGTTACCCATTATGCTTCCGCAATTAAACATCAGACGGCCGTTAACGGGAACGGGTTTCTCAAAGCGACGCCGCCTTTGTTGCCGAGTTAATTGTTTCGTTGCTCACGCTGGTCTATCACGTAATTGCCGGTGACATCTTTGCGTCGCATCAAATATCTTCTTCTTTCGCGGCGATTAAAACGGAAAACCGGAAGTACGGCTGTTACGGTACCTGGTAATAGGTTACGTCAATTTACGGTACCAAGGTACTTAGATCTCATGATTCCATTATAAATATCTAGAAAGAATAACTCTCGGAAGAAAACTCTTACCATTTGATTTGACGCGGTGAAACTATAAAATCTGATATTTAACACTAGAACTACCGGTCAAAATGCTTTCGGTTCTTTTGTTTCGCAATTGTTGATATCTTCGAAGCATTGAATATTCGAAACGATCTTGAAAATAGATAGTTTCGCTTGAGTATTATAATGAATACTTGAAGAAACCGAAAATATATTGTTAGAATATTTATAGGGATTACATATCAATTAACCCTTTGAACTCGAAAGTTTTTTCCTAGAAATATTCAAAAACTCTTTGATAAAATCTAGATGATGCGACTAATGTAAATAATTTAATCGATAAATTAAGGGAGTATTTTACTTTGATATTTCACATAGTGACGCATTATACTAAGTTTAATATTAAACATCAAACTTTATAATTTCACTGTATCAAACCAAGTGAAGAACTTTGTATAATGCGATACGTAAAATATTGGAATAAAATAGCTTTGTTCCTCAATTTATTGTGATTCCCCCTCGAGTTAATTTCAAGCTTCGAGTGCAAAGGGTTAACACGTTGACACGGTGGTCATCGATGACCGGAGCTTCCAACTTGCCGAAGAACAATAAAAAGCTTGAGTTTAAATAAAGATACTTAATAATTAGCTACATCACAGCGTGATATGACTACTGTAATACTAAATCATTAATAACAATTTTCAATACCATTTGCCTTTGTTATCGAAGAATCGGTATCACCATTCAACGCTGGGCAACGCTCCGAACATTAGCCATCGGAATGTAATAGGAATAATTGAAACGTAAATCTAATAGCAAAGTTCAACGATGTCCTTTGCCGAGATACACTTTTCTATAGGAATCCCTCTTAATTATCCGCGGCGCGAATGAAATCGAAGATTAATGGAAACTTGTTTCGGCCTGCCTTGACAATCGTGAAACCGGTCCGAGAAATGGGACGATCGATTTTCAGCCTCGCAGCGATCCACGGCAGCAGGCGCTCACGTGCTCGTCCCTGAAAATAGATCGTCCGATTTCGACGAACCGCGGGGACCGTTTGTTGTCTCGTTATGGGCCTGATGCTAACAGCGCCCAGCGATTCGCGTGGTGCTGTCACACGAAACCGTTTCACCGTTAATCCGCCGGTCGTCCAGCTTCCAGTGGTCACCGTGGCGATCGTGTCCCGATTCGAACTTCGGTCACCAGTTTTACGACATTGTCGCGATAAATATTAACACGCCGAATGCCGTACGATTTCATACAGCAAAATACCGAATCGCATGATTATTATCGCATGTTCATCTAGCTGTCGAATGAGGCAGCGATATTTATAATATAGAAATTTGCTTAAATAATCATAGTTTCACTGAGTGAACTATAGTGATCCGATTCGGTGGGTCACCGGTGACCCACGGCATTCAACGTGCTCATCTCGCGAGAAAATTACTGGCGCACTGATCGATCGAAGTTATTAACGACGAAATTCGGTCTTCACGATTTTGAGACAAATGTAGAAAATGTAATTGAATTACGTTGATATTATTGCAATTATAGTAATTCCATTTGGTTGAGGTCACCGGTGACCCTCGTGGCATCCAACGTGTTCACAGATTCCTAGGTACTTTGACTAACGTGGTACTTCGGCGTGTTTAAATACCTGAGAACGATACATTAACAGGTTTCGAAGTTACTACGTTTAGCTTTATTCTATTGAAAACCAAAAAAATTCGAAATTTTAAAATACTCTTCGATCGTTTGAATTGCACGTTGTATGCGTACACGAGCACCTTCACAAGTGTCAGTGTACCGAAAGTTACGAAAGCGATCGAGGATATTCGAATTTTCGAAAATAACCGTTATTTCAAATCCTGGATCTCTTACCTCGTTCCTTCTCGACGGCCTCCGAGAAGTTCGCGGTCATATAAACGATACACAGAACAATCGTCAGCGAACACTGCATCGTATCCGACGCGTACGCGCATTTTGACGACCGAGCATCGGGAAGTCCGTGAAACTCGGAAAATTTTTAACACTTGCTTATCGCCGACGCGCCATTTCCCGCCACTTTTGCATCCCTGTGTCACCGCCGCCGTTGGATCGCCGGTGAACGCGGAGGCTTCGAGGTTAACGATCGATGTCCTGCTACCAGCCGGAGTGTTTCTCGGGTAACTGACCGGTTCTCTACGTTCCACCGTGCCGCTCACCGGACAAACATTACCTTCGCTTACAGCCATCCTGTATAGAATGTTACGAGGATCCCCGTGGAACACGCTAACGTAACGAATTTCACCCTTTGCACTCGGAAGGTGACCCTCGGTCACCACTTGATTCGACACGGTGACACTATAGAATCTGATATTTGACCCTTTGCACTCGAGGGGTGCGCTCGCCGTCTGATTTTACACGGTGAAACTATAAAATTTGATATTTGACCCTTAGCACTCATGGTTTTGTAATCTATCAGCGACTGCAATTTTTATGGTATCTCTAGTGAAAGGTAGAAATGCTGCAACATACCTTCGATCTTTTATAAAAATCTAATAATTAATAATAGAGAATCAAATATTTTAATCAAAGAAACTACGCTAGAATTATTAGATTCTCTATTATTATTAGATTTTTATTAAAAGATTGAAGGTATGTTATAGCATTTTTCATTTTCACTAGAGATACCATAAAAATTGCAGTCGCTGATAGATTACAAAACCATGAGTGTTAAGGGTTAAATATCAAATTAAATATTTTAATGAATCAAAGAAACTACCCTGAAATTATTAAATATAACTGGTGCAATATTGGAGCCTACAGAGATCAAGGGGTTAATATTATACTTTGTATAATGCATCAATTTTAGAAATACTGAAATAAATAAATTAACTTTATCTCGTCAGATGTTTAAATATTTCTGATGAAAAACTTCCGAGTGCAAAGGGTTAATTCTGAACTTTGTATGATGCCTCGACACGTGAAATATTTTGTTGAAATAATTTGAAGTAAATGTACACTTCCGGTTAGAGTTAGGTTACAACAGAATAAGAAAAGTGATTTGAATCAGTTCTTTTATTGTGAAAAGTTAATACCTATTCATATCAAATACATTGCTAATTTGATTAACACATTGAAATATTGAGACATGATTCAAAGAATCATACATTTTTTTTTTTAACACGTCGTATTGTTATTGCGAGATTATCAATTTATGTACAGTTCACAACTGGCAATGGCTTAACTAATTAATTAATTGAGAACTATTCTTATTCGTAGATATACCTAAATAAACTGAAACATCATTTATATATGTTTAGTACATTTGTATTCTTATATACTAATAGTTGACATGTAAGAAATTGTTGTCTTATAGGAAGAGATCCTTCAGAGACAGTTTACAGATGAACGAGTAAGATTGTCATTTCACTGATATACATATATCAGTTTTAATCGTTCTTACAAAACATAATCACAATCAGTTTTCCATAATTTATGACAATTATATCGTCCTTATATTATATGTTACATAAGTATTAAAGCAGTTATCACAATTTTTGCGCCATTTTGAAGTATTACTTTGGAAAATACGGAAAGTCGAAAGGAACTGATTTATTCCTTCAATTTGGAAAGTAAACGGATTTACTGAATCGGAAATCGAGAAATCCAATTACGATGAGTGAAAAAGAAAGCGAGCCGCGTGTACCATCACAAGGAATACATTAGCGAAGACAAATGTGTTTATGATATCGTTTCTTTACGTTTACCGTTTTACGTAATATATTTCTTTACCGTTCATTCGTCAGTGACTCAGTAAATTTGGTTTTCTTTTTCTTTGTTTTAAATTAAAGCACGATTTCGTAAGCGGTTCACGGTACATAAAATTCCTGCTGTACCATTAAAGTTAACGCAATTTAACTTTCTCTTCCGTAATTTTTTACACTGTCAACGACGCTTGTATGATGCACGAAAATTACATTACAACGTTTTGTACCACCTGTAACACTTTAAAATAAATTAATCTACCATCTAAATTTTGTGTTTGTTATTCTAATCAACAGGCTATGTTTACATTTTAAAATATGTATAGAGTTATGTTAAATTTTTATTATAGAGATGTTACAACAGCAATGTGTGAATAACAAGTAAAAATGGTACAAACTACGCCATATTTTTACAGGATCACAAATGTTCTTGAATCGAGATACGAAATTAATTTTAAATTATTTTACGAGTATGATTCTACATGAGTTACTTCATTTAATTAGATAATAAGTTCATATGTATTAAATTACATGCTTTTAAACTTAATGAATTGATGTGTTCTCAAACAATTTTACATTACAAAAATAATATACAATTACAGTTATTAAATATGGCATAACATCTATAACCCTGTAATACAAGGCATGTAAGACAAGGCATACAGCTTAATAAATAAGCACTCGCATTGCAATAATTCCATTGCTGAGTTTAGGAAACCAACTTACACTGCATACAATTTTTACATGAACTTTTTACATTTTGTTTTTTCATCTTCTAAGTAGAAATTTTGCCGTTGTAAACAATTTGTTGAACAGTGAAGTCCGACTTGCAACAATAAGAATAACCGAACTGCTATATAAATTCAGTTTTTAATGTGTACAATGTATTACAAAAACATTATACTACGTAGCAAGTTTTTGTACTGAATTTGGTTGTTCATTTAAAGCGACATCTGCAGTTCGGGCAAACTTGCTGTAATATATTTGAAATCATGAAACAACATTAAAATTGATTTGAAACTATTATGAATCAAGTAAAATTTCTAAATATATAGAGGAGATCTATAATAAATCTACAATATAATAAAACTTCTTTAGAACATCGGGTGACTTTACTTTCGTAAATTACCTCTCTCGTTTGAATTTTCAACTCTCTGATACAGGCTTCGTGAAATATATGTTTGCAGGGCTGCAATACTATTTGTTTTCTATCTATTATTGTTTCTAAGCATATTGTGCAAACCTCTGGACCTCCTTGACCACTTGCAGTTCGTCGCCTTCTCGGGTAGCTATTAAGAATATAAAAAATCTGCCACTTACATACATATCAACTCCTTTAATACTATTTATAAAATACATACTTATCTGGATAGGAATATGGTGAATTATCATATGATCTGTATGCGTTTGTACTATTACGGCATTCAGTATTGCGATAGCCTTCCTCTTCTTCACGTGTAAAAAAATAGTGCAATGTAAGTGTCGCTGTCGCTACAACAAGACCAACCAACACAGCGACAACGCTTGGGGATGGCATTTTCTTTCATTGACAATTAAATTAACTATAAAATTCTTTGTAACACATCCAACGAAGTCAAGCGTCTCGATCAGTCAACTAAATGTAATTACAAATACTTGGGGGTTCCTGATCAACACAAACAAACTATTGGACTTCCCATGGAAGTCGGAATAAGGAAAAACGTAAAACATCAAACGACAGAAACGAAAATAGCCACGTTCTTCAAACTTCGGACACATAAAACACTGTACATACACTGTTCGTTCACTTTAAGAATATACCAACTTAAATTGGTTTCCAACAAAATAACAATGGCGTCTTGGCTCTTTATTGGTACATTTTTCGCGAAGCAGGAGCGTACATTGCTAGGATTAAGCGGGACCTTGGAATTACAGATTAATTTTATTCTTACAAGTGCCAATATTACGATAAACATTTGAACATTCATATGATCCAACTTTTTAATAAATTCCTTCCTTTCCCTAAGAGATATTTCAATAACCAAATATAATTTAACATAGTCCGATTCAAGTGTCAAATAAACAAGCACCTTCTTCAGCATATATTTTGCTCCTGTTCCTTCTCAGGTTACTACGTTTCCTTCGATGCAGTCCTTCTCTAAAGGACAACAGCAGCATGCTCGAGCATACCAACTTTCATAAAATTCTCGCTGTTGACAGGCTGACCAACGTAATGTCACTTCAAAATTCTCGCAATGATATTCCCTTCGAATCTTATTCGACGATGAATGTAGCGTAACGAAGAACTCGAAAGGTAAACAAAATTATAGAACGTTCTAATATTATCATTTTTATCGGACTCTGTCATTTTTCTATTATTATACATGCGCAGTTTTTACACACTGTATTCCAACGTAATAATAGGGATTTAGCAATGGTATCATTGCAAGTGAACCTTATACTTTTATATCAATTCTTCAATATATAAATACTCGTTACGAGAAGCGTCATCAGACACGTTAAGTTATTTGAAGCGACCGTTACATAAGAATGAGGATATATTATTCATAATGCATATATTATTTATTCGTCAACAGTTATAAAATAAATACATCGTTCGCCTATTTACAAATTGACTATACAATTCAGGAAAATCAAAATCTCTCATGAAGTGTCGTGTTGATATTTTGCACGTGTTTTATCGTGCGAATTCGAAATCTTCCAACTTGCGACGAGTTAACTTCTAATCGAGTTTGTCGACGACGTTAACATATAGATTAGTTAAACGGATAACAAAGGAAACATCGTTTTGAAAAACGTCCCTTTAACCTCGTTCGAAAAACAAACGAACGAATTCAAAAAACCATTATCGTCACAGAGCTATGCATCGTCGATAAATTTTTGTACTTCGTCATTATATCTTGCTAAACACTCGTATAATCCAATAGTTCAACAAAATTTACGTTATTTAAAAAATTCGCCTACAAGTTATTAGAAAGAATTGATTTTAGATTTGACAGTCCAGTGATGTGGAATGTGGGGGCGTTAATGTAACAGGTGTCATAGACGTGATCGATCGTTGAATCGATTGCAATCCTGTCGCCTGTTGTTTAATTAACATATGCCGGAGAGATTGCGCCTCCTCTCGAAGCGTTAATACTTGTGCCTTTAAAATTGCGTTCTCGTGTTCCAGCATCGTTGCCCTTAACGCGATCTGCAACGTAACGATTTCTTTTAGGAATACACGTAAGAACGGATTAACATGCATTCAAATTTCGCGTTACGTTTAACCTACATGGTCTTCCCGAATTTTTCGAGCGTCTCGAGATTTTTTCGCAGCCTGGTTATTACGTTTACGTCGTTCGTAATATTTCTCATCCTTCTGCTCGTCAGGAATCGGTTTCTTCTCGCTCCTGGGTCGCCGTTGCGAATTTGCGATTCCGTTTGTGCCCAAAAAATGACGGTTTACCACGCCACCTGTTTCGCCAACAGGTATTTTTAAAATTATTTTTTTCTTTATTCCAACGAACGTTAAACGTATATTTACATCGACGAAAGTGAAATATGATTATTTTTACAGAATGCAAAAAACAAATTGCCCCGGGTGAGGATCGAACTCACGACCTTAAGATTATGAGACTTACGCGCTGCCTTCTGCGCTACCGAGGCGCTTGATACCGGAATTTTTAAACGCTTAGAAGTACACGTATCATCCGACTTATTGATACAGTTTATTAATTGAGAAATCAACGACTTACCTGTATTAATATTCGAAAATGGTTGTGGCACACTTATAGATTGCATTAATGGCGGCACACTCGTTAAGAACGGAGGTTGAAGCAAGGAACCGGGAAGCGAGAACCCCGCAGACAACGGTGAAGTTGTCAATGGTGATGGTGTCCGGCCAATTGCAATGTCTCTTGCACCAGAACTTGCTAAAACATCCGGATCTCCAAAGGTATAGTCTCTAGAATTGCATGGCTCGTATCTGCACAAGTCTAACAATTACATACAATTGATTATTTACAAAAAATTGTGAAACTTATCATATACATTGTCATCTCTTTGTTGCTACATGGTAAAATTGTAGTTATTTTTAAGAGGCTGAGTACCAAGAGCCCCTGTGGCCTAATGGATAAGGCATCGGTCTCCTAAACCGGGGATTGTGGGTTCGAGTCCCACCAGGGGTAATTGAAAAAATTTTTTTATCCTTAGTAACAATTGCGTCGATTTACTTTTTCATTTGCCGTCGGACAAATTGAAATGGTTTAAAGGAAATTATACATTTAGAAATTATCCATACGTATGGTAAGTTTTACAACAGATAATCTTTTGCGAATGTTTTTTAATTTGAATCGTTCCTATAATGAGTGATGCTTTGCATAATAATATTGGGATTGAATTAAGCACGTGTGTTATGTGAAAGTGACATACATTCGCGAGCCGATTGCATGATAAATAATTGCGAAGAAAGTAGAGATATAAAAGCATCGCTTATATTAACAACATAGTATATTAATTAAAATATATATTGTAGACAGGCATACGAGGATAGAAGAGGATGTAAAATACAAAATCATTAAAAAAAAATATACACCTCCAACCGTGACAATGTGTCATTGACACATTGCCGTGACCAGGATTCGAACCTGGGTTACTACGGCCACAACGTAGGGTCCTAACCACTAGACGATCACGGCTACTGGAGTACTTGGTAACGACTCTGAAATCAGCGGACATCGAGGATCGCATCGACCAACTTGCTCACTCGTCCGTGACTTTAAGTCTTAACTTAACTTATAAATGAAACGTAAAATCCCTTAGTCGATGAAAAACACAAACTTCTACATATTTAACACGTTGAATGATTTCACGTGACAAAATACACGGAACGAATGATATTACATTTCTAGCAAATCATTTCATGGAATCGTTTTGTTATTACTGCACGTTTGAATACAAAAATGTTTGCAGATAATCATCGTGTAATTGGATTATAATTCGATTTGGTCGGGGGTCATCGGTGACCCCCATAACTTCGCGAGTTCATAAAACGATCTGCAATAATAGATGCAAGGATAAATGATCAACAAAGTCATGATCAACGATAGATGATAAAACAGAGATGCCAGGCAGAATAACAGCGAATTTCTAATTGCAGCTGGAACACGATGCAACACGGAACCGAATGATTGTCGAAGTTACCTGGGGACGGAGCGAACAAGCTGTAGCTCCTTAAAAGATGCAATGCAGAGAACGCGCTGGAAACGGTACTTCCGGTGCAGATCGTCTTCGCGTGCGCGTGGGAGGTCATTCCTTTGAAAATCCTCTAAAATGCCAGAGCGCTGATAGACCCACTAGACTCTAGTTACGATCGGACCATCCTCCATCGATGATAATCAGGTGCAAAGGTCAACCAGCCCTGCAGAGACGTTCGAACCGGAAATGTTTCCCAAGCTATCCATATATTCGTCGAGACTTTTCCATATTTTCCAGTCCAACTTGAAGAGAATCGAACGAATTCTCCGACGACATAACTGCGTTGATTCGATGGCTATCAATGTGTTTATATCCTGTCCGTTGATTTCGAGAAATTGAAGCTTCGATTCACAGCGCAGGAAGTAAGGGTATATCGGCGTGCCAAGAACTTCTAAGTTGCCCGAAGCGAAGTACAACTTCCCGTCGACGGAGTGTCCCGACGTTCCGTGGAGCCTGTTGACGTTTCAGACGTCACGTGCTGGTTTGCCGCATACCTCGCCACCAGAAGAATTTCCAATTCGCCGTTACGAGGGGTGTTTCCCGCCCCTTAGTGCATGCGCAACGGCGAACAGAAGGATTGTTCCGCCCCTGGCGCGTTAGGGGCGAGCAACCGGGTTGGGTATCAAGTGGTCAAGGAAGGTAAAAGCCTGACCAATCCGAGGGGAAGCGATTGTCCACCCCCATATCACGACCCTAATCTGACAACTGTTGTGATAACAGGTCGCCCGGTTTTTCGCGTCTTGCATGACCGAATGACGAAGATTGGGATCGCTGGAAATTGTTCTGGGGCCTTTGGAATCCTCTTTAACGTGGAAGAGACGAAGATTTCAAGGAATGATTAATGAACCGAGTGCCGAATATTATAAAGAAATTGATTTTTATTCGATATTGTTCGGTAATTAACATTGTCTAGTATATTATCCTCCGGTATCTCGTGAATCTTGTTCCCTTGCATGAAGTATAAGGGAACGATTGCTGGATAAATTTATACGAAATTTGTTTCTGTTTTTCAGACTGTACCCAGACGATACGATGTTCGTTTACAATATTTCCATTGCGAGTTCACATTTATAATTCCATACGCAAGAACGTTCCGCCCAGTCAAACGGAAAGCTACGTGTGTCTAATGTCTCTGGGACAATCGGCAGCTGACACGTTCATACCGCCCACGAATGTTTAATGGGTCGGTAATTATTATGAAGCAAATTAGACGACTAGCGTCGAGGGGGGTTGCAACATTGATGAGTACGAGCACGGGACTTGAAATTGTTTTCAGCTGAGCTCATCAATGTTGCAGTCGCTTCTGTTAGAGCCATGCTTTTAATTAATGACTGTGGTAACATCGATTGTTGTGCGATGCGGTCGGACTGTCTGCAACCTGCAACGATAAACAGTCATTTTAATGAATCAACTATCAAAAGGATTGTATCTTGAAGCTAAAGTTGAATATCTTGCAATTCTTTTTAGTAACTTTTGTTTTTATTGAAATCTCAACGAAACAGAAAATGATGAAACACACGTGGACGCGTTTATCATAGAGACATGTTCACACAAAGAAATTTTCCAGGTGGCTATTGGATTTACAGTGCATGTTCCATTTCGTGTGCCAAAAAGGGACGAGCAATTCGGAGTAGATTACCTGTTCAAATTTAACTCCCGCCGGGGGTTCGCATCACGGGTTAAATAACGCCATTTGTTATCGTAATATCTAATTTGGCGGTGAAGGGTGATGTGCCTCTGCCATGTGGCCGAGATCTCACGAGTCCGCAGTACAGGTGTCTTAGGAACAACAGTTACCTGCCGGTAAGTTCGGCAGGTGTGCCGAAAACGAGATATCCCTACGAATCGTTCCCGACGAACATTTCACTCCCAATTTTACTTAAACCACCAATTACAATAACCAAAACCTAAAACGAACATCTACTCTTCAGGCTAAAAATAACGCGACAAATTCCATTCCATATAACTACTAAGCAGTCAAGTTAACTTTTCAAAATTCTCCTATAGAAACCCCAAGAGTGCATCTACCGCGACTTCCATCTGAAAACTTAGTTTTCTTATTGCTAAAACAATTTCTCCCGAAATTTCTTAGAGAAGGTTCTATCGTTTTCTCAATAATCGCAAAAGAATTTAGAAATGGCCATGTGGTAGTTCTAGTGTTAACACTATTTTGCTTCAATATCTATACAAAGTAAAACTGAACTAAAGTTTAGAACCTAAAATAAACTATACACATTTTTCGAGGCAACTTCTATTAGAGAAGTAATACACTACCACTCTATTCAAAATAAAACCATTACTAACGGTGCATCGACTGGTCCATTATTGTTATATAAATAAACACGTGTAATTATAAAAGTCAGGTCTGGAAGGGATGAAATATTCTCTACAAGTATTCGCCTCTTATACCGAGTTCCAGCGTAATGTAATTCATTGTTACAGGTCTTATCAGGGCCAGCCATTTTCTCGCGTTGTAATGACGGGCCGGCCAGTAATCGTTCATCGTTAAAAGATTGAGTAAACGCCGGCGGATCGCTCGATCGAGCGTCCTTCCGTGGGTAGGGGCGAGCAATCATCAAGATTGTCCCGACATTACGAGCCGGCGGTTCTCGTCGCTTCGTCGGACATCGCTCGTTATCATTATGTGGCTGGATTCGTGATAGCGAAAACGCCCCCGCGATCGGCCGTTTCTCTCTCCGTCGCTCTCCCGGGTGCCGGGGCTGCTCGTGCGAACCTGAACACCTGTCCGCGACCATCGGGTAACGTGACATCACGTCATGTGACCTCCTCAGCCCCGGGAACCCCTTGAGCTCCCGTGAGGAGCCGCGACCTCGGTGGTAATCCTGGCCTAATCGCTGTCCTGGAAACAACCGATTGCACACCCGAACGGTATCGTCGCGGGGCCATCGGGTTCCCCGCCCTTTCGCGCTTTCGAAGCTCGCCGGGATGATTCTATGCCGTTTTCACGTGCCGTCCATTAGAGATAGGTCAGCCAGGCTGAATGTGGCATTTTTATCATGACTATTACGCTCGTGGTGTCTTGTATAGGTATATAGAGAAATTGCTGTTGGCAAATTATTTTGCATTTGAAATTTATGGAATTGAAATTCATTACGTAAATGTCTGCTATTAATCAGTTCTATTCATTCTGATTAATTTAGTGTAATTCTAATTGAACACTGGAACTAGGTGGGTCAGAATGGCCCATTCCTGATTTCTTTTTATACAATTACTGAGGTGTAGATGCTTCTCTGAGAAATAGTTAACACTAGGATTAACAGATTGAATTTTATAAACATTATTTGGTAAACGTTTCAATCGGTTTTCGTTGGTCCAATTACAATATGAATCCTGATTGTCTATCTCTACGTCTACAATTTCCAAAATCTAAATGAACGAATATCAACTTCCCCAGGAATAGAACAAACTGTACAATAAATGTCCGTAAACCTAGTGTCAAAGAAGCTGATTTAGTAATACACAGATGCGTTTTATAAAGGAGTTTGGAAAAGTCAGTCTAAGTGCTTGGTAGTTCTAGTATGGATCTAAACGCCATAAAGTTAAAGTCCTTGGATGATGTATCACAGAATGAAGATTTCACTAGTGCCAAGTAGTGCCTTAGATCACGCTGACTTCCGTTTTCAGATACCCAAGGATCACTCGGAGTTCTCCGGAGGATCCTCCGTTTTCCCTCAACAAGTATTTCCTTCGTCCTGCGAAGCTCATCCCGTTCACCGTCCGAGGGCGATCAACACGAACGCGGGGTCACGCACGACACACCGTGGCCTACACCGGTGAACGACACGGCGCGGCGGCGAGGGGGTCGCGTGTCTGCCCCTTAATTTTATCCTATGCGTCCCCGTTCACCTCCTTCGCGTAGCTTCCTTTCACCCCTGCGAACGGGGAGTCACGAATCGCGACGCCTGGTTGTTTCACAACACGGGCAAAAGTTATCTCATCAAGTCGTCACGAGGTTCTACCCCTTTCACGACCACGCCACCTCGCCCCCGCGGTTGCAAAAGACGCGATTAAACTTTTTCCTTGCACGCCGAGCTACCCCGTTCTATTTACGGACCTCTCGCCTCATCGGCTTTCTTAGGGGTACGCTCGGTGTCAGGTGTACCGATTAGCGGTTTTCTTGCTGCGTTCCCTCGTCAACGCGAAATTCCGTTGTCTTTTGCAAGAGTATAATTATTCCTCGATCGAATTAGCTTCTGTGTTTGCCTTGAATATTGAAATAGCAGTTCTTTCTTTATATCTCCGCCGTACATTACAATTCGTCCAGGACATTCGGTAAATTATTTTAGTATTTGGGGATGTAACGCGTAGATGCTCAGCAGAATGCTTCTATATTAATTACCCCTTTTGTTATGGGGAGAAAATCGTTTTCTGTGTAATCTTCCAGGAAGATCTGAATATAGCTTCTTTGTCCGGGTGATTTTCTTGTATGTCTGTCGCATAGACGTTTTATTTCCTTTTTGATCATAACGTTGACTGCGGAAGAGTCAACAGTATTCGCATCTGTTGAATGAAATCTGGAGTCTCGTCAGTTTCAAGCGGTATTATAGGTAATAAACAAACATCTGATAATTGTTACTGCCGCCACGAGGATAGTGGATTCCTCTAACTTTCCAGGAAAATAAAATGGCGAGCACGAAGTAGAACGCGCTCGGACGATTCCCGGGGTTCTCGTCTTCCTTTTTTCTCGCCGCGTTCCGGAGGAGGGTTGCTCCGCGTCCGATAACAACGACGAGCCAAAAATTACTTGGACGAGTGCGGATAAGAACCGTGCCGGCGCGGTAAGCCACAAATTCGCCGACTGCCTGGGAACCGAAGGGTTGTACGTTCGTTTCATGCCGTACACGAGACCGAACCGGCCTAACTGATTAAGTTAGGTGTTGAAGAATCGCTGTTCCAATTAATCCACTTCGGTGCCAGCGAATTTCGTTCGATCGAGAGACCTTGGCGGACTTCGAATTAAACGGTAACTACGTCTCCAAAGAAGCTACAGCTTCGAATATCTTTAATCTTCTCAGACCAGAAAGAAAGACTCTGGAACACAACGCAGTTAGGTAACAGTTCTAATCCTCGAAGACCTAATTTCCTATTACCTGCTCAAACATAGAAAAATACGATCTATTTAGAATATTTTATACAAAACTAGGGAAACATTCGCCCAAGCTAAAACTTCACTCAGACTCGAACGGTTCAAACAGGAAAAGAAACGTGACTATTCAAGAACCATTTGCTAAATTCGAAACATCTCTCTCAACCAGTTAACTGTGTTTGACGAGTATACACGTCGTCTTAAAACTCTTAATGGTGCAAACTTTTTCGATTATTTATTTTTTGAGGCAAACGATTCTTCTTCGCTTGAGTCTTTCGTTAAGATATATTTTAAGTGCATTTGGCCTGCATTTAACGACTGTACGAGAGATTTCCCAAACTAAATTCCACGCTTAACTAGTTAATTATCGTCGGCGATCTACCGAGTAATATTCATTTCCAGATTCGAATTTCCCGAGAAGCCAGCGAAACCATTAGCGACCAAGAGTGCCTTAGAAAGTCGGGGCCCTGACATGCGCCGAAGAAAGAAACGCATGATTGCTGGTACGACACGGGGATACCGTATAATTTCATACCAACATTGCCGGAGCTGGTCATTAGGCATACCGGAGGATCGGATAATTTCCAGCAATTTGTACGGCGGCGCTCGAGTGTGTATCCTCCATTGCCGAGGAAAAGGGAGGAGAACGCTTCCGTGTGCGGACGGCGTCCACGCGGTTGGCTCTGATTAATATTTTACGCAAACAGGTTCCCCCGTTACACGATCAGAGGCTCCTCCTATTTTTTTCCCCTGGCCGGCTCAACACGCCGCCCCCTGACCGCGGATGCGTTATTTAAATTGCAAATCGATAAGAGAGCCGCGCGGCGCGCCGGTAAACACGGCGAGCCGGCGGACCGAAAACTTCCCGAGCTCATGTAACATGAACGCCAGATGGACCCCGATAGGTCTTAACAAATGGGCCGATCTGCGCTGCGTCGATCGTTCGGATTCCCGCGCGTACGGCCGCGTTGATGGACGGTCGCCGATAACGGCGAACGCGTGATGGATGGCGGCCGCGGATTCCGAAAAAGGCAACGAACGGGAAGACAGTTTCCCGGCGACGTCGGCGCTCAGGAGTAATGCTAGTAATTCGAGGATAATGACACCAATAATCGTTTATTACGATATAATGTATCATAATTTTATGCAGTTTTCGTTGTAGAAATCTATAGACCACGTCGCTGTCAAGAGTTTCCTTCGATTACAATGTGATTAAACAGTTGCGAGATGCGAACAGCTTTCACCGAACTCTCGCAACGTGAAATGCGGCTACATGGTAATCGGCAAATTCACGTGACGAGCGGAGCGCATCATGGGGAAGTCGGGTCGCGGAAGAATGTCTGAAGAAGAGGAGAGGAATTTGTTCGATAAGGTGCTTAAAGAGGACAATGAAGAGGCTGCTAATGAAGGAACAAAGTCTGACACCACTGAAGATAGTTCTGTCAGTCTCAGAATGCTTTTACGATAGTCGTTGAACTCTCATTGGAGAATGGTTTATACCATTAACATAGGCGCCACGGAAATCTTGACCGTTTTTTTCAAAATTATTAAATATTTGGCGTTATCCCTGCATTGCACAGTTACTAGTTACGTTATTAAATATTCTCATTGGACATCGGTTGTCTCGTGTGTTACGATTGTTCTCGAGTAATTCAGGATCATCGGTGATCGGTGACTAACGTGGCGTTTAATGTGTTAACGATAATGTTAGGGCATCAGAGAGTCGATGATCTTTTTAGAGGGTTTGCGACTGCATGCGAATCGCCGAGCACTCGTCGAGATTCTCGTTGCGAGTGATGGAGGCGATGCGATCGCTGCAACGGAAGGAGGATACGTTTCTGCCCAGCTGCACCGCGGAGGACATAGTCCGTTATATCGAGGCGAATTATCGCGACGACGGTGACCTTTACGCTCAGGTGCGGACCGCGCTGAAACAGGTCTGTTCCCAAGGGTTAGTTCTACGTCAGCCGAACCGGCAGAACACAACACAGCACGCGTTGCAGGCGAAAATGTGTCTCGCGTGAGACACGATCGCGTTTCAAGGCAACTGCAAAACGTTTATCTCATTCGAAGACCCCGTGCATCTATCGACCGATTCCGCCAGCCGGTTCACCCTGTTAATTGTAACGCCTACCCCGCTGATGCAACCGTGTTGCCTTCAATGGAACTTCATGCGCTACCTTTTCCCGTCCCGGCTACTTAGAAATTCTAATCTAATTATCGATCATCGCCGTGCTTTCGTGCTCTCAGTCTTCTTGCGTTCTTCGAGGTTTCTCCGATTCAATCACGGTCTCATAATTAATTAGATTTATTATTTCTTCTTTTCCTGGATTATTAACACTTAGACCACCTAAAAGGAATAACTACAAACTCCTTCAGTATCTTCAATTGAACTCATTCAGTTAATTCGGTTAGAAACTGTGTTTTGTAAAAACACCGCATTTCATGAATTGCGAATAATCCCACTTCAAGACTCACTAAATAACGAAAGAAAAGATAAACAGAATAAAAGGCAATACGTTGCTAAGTGAAAAGTGTAGATCTCCTCATTCGGTTGGCTAAGTGTTAAGATATGTATACTATAATACCAAAAACGATTTTATATTAATATTAGGGTAACTCTGGGATAAACGCCTTGTCTCACTTAGATCGTCAAATTTCTATATTTTCAATTGTCTTTAATTATTCGTCTCACTTATTTCTTAATATTCTTCTTAATATTAAAAAGGTATTTACTTGCGTAAATATATATTCTTTGGTTAGGTACCAACGATGTTTATAATCTAATGATTCTTCTAAAAAAGTGAGCCATCTCTCCACTTATACTACAAGGAAATTTATATTGCCTTGATATACAATGATATAAAACTATCTTCCAACAGATTCGTAATGGAACTGTTGGAGAACGAGTACCACCTAGTGGGCCCAGACGCCATTTCGATGAACAGAGTCACACGCTCGAGCCGACGAGCCGATTGCCTCTTATCTTCAACGCCGAAACCTCCAGCGAAGCGTCAGAAGAAAGACGAAGATGATTGCACCTGCGAACCGTCCACCGATGAATCGAGATCAAGGAGACGTCGGAAATCTTCTCAGAAAACTGGCAGAGGAGCCAGAGCTACCAGACGAAATCGTACCGCTGAAAGGATCGATGATGTGGAAATGGGAGAGGATCATGAAGAAGAAGAAGATATTATCGATCCAGACTACGATGATAATGTGAGAATAGTGTTTCTGTTACACCGAGAGCTTACAGTCGAACAAAATATGTATGAACTTACACAGATACCTGTGTTCTGAATAATTATTTAAAAAATTATAGCGTGAACCGATAGGTGCACAAGGTTCGGCGAAAGCTGAAATCGGAGAAGCCAGTACCAAGGATTCAGGGATAGCCCGGTATTCCCCGTTAAATTTCTTCAAGAGGAGAAACGAGAGCAATCAAGAAAGAAGCTCGAGAAGGGAAAATGGCGGCCGAAGGACGCGTGAGACAGCGAGGAATGAAACATCGAAGAAATCGAAGCAGAACGAAGAGGATAATGTAACGGAGGAAACGCTGTCGGATCGTTTGGATGATGTTCATCAACAATCGCAACATCGTACTCAGAGGAGGAAAGATAATGAACGAGAGAAGGAGCTCAAACGATGGATAAAACATTGCCAGGCGGAATGCGTGCGACGAGGCAAACGACGAACGGATAATTGAATGTCTAATTTATTGTTATCCAATTTTGTAGTTCTTGTGCTACTTTTGTCATGATTATTTGGAATTAATTTATTGCAGCAAAATTGCACGCTATCTTTTTTTGTCGAGATTTCAATAGAATGGAGGTTTTACAGACTCGTCGCTAATTATTTATTTATTTATTTATTTGGAGTATGTTCACACTGATCTACAATGTAAGTTCAATGACGGTGAAAGTCGAAGAACCCTCCCAGTGCGATCGGTTGGTATTAAATATCCGGAACTCACGGCGAACGAAAGTGCATCGCGTATGTAATTTCTTGCGTCGTGGTTCTCTAAACATTGAACGTACGTTATGGGGATAATTTTACTATGAGAAGTACAATTCTGAAAAAGGGAAAGTCAGAACTGTTCTTAACCCTCTGTAGGTGTAACTTTGAAGTAGCATATCAGTATATTGGCATCTTGTTTTATTTCATTTTGTACTGAAAGTGGTGAATAAAATTAAGTAACCAGTTAACTTAAACTTTTATATGTTTAAAGTTTAACGTCGTTGTAACTTGAAAGTTACAAAATATATTTGTTCGATGAAATTATTGAAACGATCGAATACGTTGTTAATTCGTATTCATACGTGGATATTTATTAATTTTGCCCTGCGTAGATTTTATAAGCATGAACAAAAATTCAGCCCATAGAGGGTTAATAAGAAAATCATAATTAGAACTTATAATACAAGAAGAGTGTGCCGTGTTATATTTTAAATGCGATTCACGTTCTCCTCCATTTGAACTCATGCCATTTTTCTATTTTTACTCCGTATTCACCTGCGTTCGTGTATTTGCGCGTGGGACGTGTGCCTCTTCTCCTCGCATTCGTCTTGCGAAACTTGTCGCAGATGTTATAGCGTTCCTTTCGAGTGCTGGATGAATATGAAATCTTCCGCAAGTACTTGTACACCAAGTCCGACACAGTTGACTTTTGGTCGTGTCGATAATCCTTGCAATCCATACTTTTGGACCGAACGCCTAATGTATTTATCGATTCACGTCATCTTCATTTTATTCGTAGCGCAAATAAGTTGAATTAATCAAATGAAACGATTTCGAAAATGAGAAAAAAATGGTAACATCTTACGTAACTTCCTGCTTTTTCATTTGGTCTCTTCTTAATTTTATCTGGATTTTTAATTAAGAGGACTATTTCTCGGTGGAGAGTATTTAGGGTTGCATAGTGATTAATGTAACATAATTTTTGTAAAGACATTCAATTTGTCATAAATGTATGTCGAATATCGTATTCATTTCTTTTGTTTCTTTTTTACCAATGGAAGATATAAGCGCTGAACAGTGTGTAGTTGAGTAGATTACTACTCGTAGCGCTGTTACATCGGTGACAGTAGTTTACATCATGGTGGTGCCGTAATTGTCAACACCGATCAATCAAAATGTCTCATAAGGTAGTATTACGTTTGTATTTAAATTAAAGCGTTTATTCTTTTATTATTCTACCCAGCAAATTAATGCGCATCATATATTGTGTGGATCATCGAAATTTTTACAAGGGATCATTGTAAAATCAACACGAGGGTTCACTTGAATTTTCAACCTCGAATCTATTGACTTTTTTATTAAATGTCAATGATAACACGTAAATGCAACGACATAAATACGATCCACGCATTCTAATATTTATTTCAATTTTATACAATTTTTGCTTCAACTTGTCAGAGTCAATTAAATGCGTCTTAAAACTGACAACATTATTGCATTCCAGGGTGCAATTAAAAAGGTTTCATCCACTAAAGATGCACACTACTCCAATAGTAAGTCTAAATCAAAAGTCTTATTGGCTGCTAAAGAGTCGGAGAATTCTGAGAAAGCTGAGTCAAAATCAGAGAAGAAACCTGAGAGAATAGCCAATAGTACTAAACAATCTAGATCATTACAGAATGTGCAACCAAGTAAAACTGGTGAAAAGCAAACAGTCAGATCATCACAAAGTAAATCTGGAAGAGAAAGCATGTCCTCTACAACTAAGTTAAAGGCTAATGTCTCTAGAACATCTGTAACATCTAAAACGATATCTGATCCTAGCAAGAAATCAAGTAGTAGTAGTATTGTGAAAAGCAGCAGATCTTCTACTGGGAGAACACAAAGTAATTATTCAGAGAGAAGAGGATTAAGTACAATATATGTGCCACCATCGCTTAGCACCAGACTTAATTCTAAATCAATTAATAAAGACAATAGATCTATATCACAAGAAGAAGGGAGAGCAAAGATAAACTCAAATTCAAAGGAAGAAATTAAATCAAGATCTAAATCGAGACAACGTAAATTGTCCAGAACATTGAGTCCAAGTGAAATAAAAATGGTGCATTCAGCTACAAGTAGACCAGATCTTACCCAAAGGAATCAAAGAAAATCACCTGAAGCAGTGGAAGATGAAGATGATTATGAAGATGATTTTGAGGTAAAGAATGCTAATGAAAGTCAGGTATTATGGTTCAATATAAGAATTAACTTAATTCATTTTGTAGGATTATGAATCAGATTTTCAAGAGTGCACAGACAGTGAATCATCTGAAGTCAGTGAAGAAGAAAATACTAATAATGATTCACCTCTAGACCCTATTGAATTACATACTGCCAAACAAGTACACACTATTGTTTATTTTATTCTATAATAATATGAAAATGGGAACATTTTTTTATTTTATCATTTTATTGCAGCACAAAGTTGTGAACAGTGCTGATCAGCAAAGGGAAGAAGAGCATATGCATGACTCAGGTCATTATGAGCTTACAGAAGCTAGAAAAAGAGCAGCAAGAATAGAATCCATTGCAAGTGACCCAAAACTATCTTCACTTCTTGAATTAAGACAACCAGTTAACAAAACATATAGGTTTGTTTTGAGTAGAATAAAATTTCAAGATAATTAATGTGTTTGTGTTGTATCATTGTATCATTTCATCATTAAATGTTTGCTCGTTTATTGTATAGTTGTTGGTGTAATATTTATTTCGGTAATAATTTAAAATACTTTTTTTTCGTACAGCGAGGATAGATCATTCGAAGCTAAATCATTACCATTATCTACCGATGAAGGCTTTGAAGATAGTCGTTCTGGTGATTTTGCAAAGTCTCCACCAGTTTCACAAATTTCATTCATTGATTTTCGCAAAACTAAACAGTCTCAGAAAGAAAAGGTAATGTCCATTAACGAACAATAATTGAAATCAAACTTAATCACAATCATTATTTGCAGAACTCTAAGAAAAGTAGAAGCAGAGGTGATGAATTATTGGAAATGATAAAATTGGATGTCATGGAATGGTCCCTACTGGAGTGTTCACCTATACCGTATGAAGAATTTATTAGAAGTTATGGCAAATTGAATACGCTGCAAGTGTGTAAATAATGTGATAACAAACATTCAACTATTGATACTAAAAATTGGTTATTTTGTAGGTATCCACGCAAACTGGTGAAGACAATATCGATGTAGAAACACAAACGGATAAAGTCACGTTTAAAAATAAATGGACTCAATTTCCGATAACCTGTAGAAGCAATTTACAAACCAAAGAGGACTTAGATTTATTTCGTCTGGTTTGTGGAATTATTTTTATACTTCGTTGTCGTTTTGCGAATAAATAATACTAAAATATTATAACTTCCAGGACCAAAGTGGTGTTGGCAACGATGTCGATGATTTAGACTGTATAAAGTCTTCAACGCCACCATCCTTCGATACATTAAGATTAAGCGATTTCGTAAACCGAGCTGGAAGACTAATGTTATCATTATTGGAAGAAAGGAGATCTGGCGGAAATGTTTTTAAAAACGAAGAAGGAATAGCATTCAGCGATGGTGTCGTTAAACTTTCCGTGGATTCAGTCACGTTTTTGGCTGGTAGAGCAGTGACAATAATTCATTATTCGGACATCCTAAGTAAGATCTTACTGACTGTTCATTCTCCAGCTGAAGAGGTAAAAGTTAACGACACGTGTCAACTAAATTGAAACATCAGGCAAAAAGTTGTGAACATAAAATACACTTTTAAATAGGAGATCGAGACATCCAGTAAGCAGGATTATATAACCGACTGCTGCATTGGATGCGTTTGGAACACTTCTGAGCCATCGATGCCAATTAAATTATTTTACTCGACCTGCCCTATTACCGCGTGTTCTTTTCACTTAACAAATTATAATGTCGTATTTGCTGGACTACAGGATGGGTATTTCTTTTTTCTATTTATTTCAAAACGGAATTTATACTTGATAAAATTAATAAATATTTTAATCGGTAGGTCGATTAGTCTTTGGGACTTAAAGGAAGACGAAATGTGGCACCAGAAGGTAACAGATAAAGCCAATGAATTAGATTGGACGATACGAATGCCTACTTACACAACGACCGCAAATGCAGAAATGAGTATTGATAATTATCAGATAGTTGCATTACGTATACTATCTAAGCTCGAAGAGAAGTCATTCGAACAACGTAATAATAAATTTATTCCTATCCAGGTTTGTTCAATCTTATTTCGTATACTAGTCCAATAATAATGCTTGAAATATTAATATTTTTGTATTACCTAATGTAATAGATATGTAGCTTAAATGAAAAAGGTTCTCTTATTATATGGAGCGTTTTACATAGCATGGGAATAAATATCGACGATTTAGGACTGTCTTATTGGGGTTGTGTAAGACTTGTTAAAAGTCAAGAACTGCTTTTGCAATGTGATAATGCGAAAAAGTAAATATTTCATAACAATTTGTACATACTAACGCGTATTTATCTTACTAACATTGGTTAACTGTTTAGAAAAATCAGTGCAGCTACTTTTATTGACATGCATGTGGATTGCGTTGATAGCAACAGTTTCTATATTGCCACTAACAGTAGCAATGTTTTGCATGCTACCTGCATTGGTAACAAAGCTAGTCCTTCTATGTATAAAACATTTGACACTAGTAAGTTATCATGTCTAGTGAAGTGTGACTTCGTAATCATCACTTGAATGAATGAATTTTTTTTTATTATCTTAGATCCTTGTGGAAACATAAGCTGTATAGAAACGTGTCCATTTGAGCAGTCGTTTTTCCTGGTAAGATTTTTATATGCATATTTATCATCCTTGGATACAAATGATTTTAGAACAATCTTTTTTTTCTTTTATAGATCGGTTGTGACGATGGTACAATTCGATTACATTCTTCGAATATTGAAAAACCACTTTTGCAATTGAAGGATGAAGATAAAACGTACAGTATTAAATATCTACAGTGGTCCAAAACGAAACCATTTACAATTTTTGTAATGGACAATCATTTTCGGTAAGAGGATTTAATAATACGGCAACTCATTGAACCAATTTATAATAGAATAAAAAGAAAAGATTATCTCTTTTACTAAATGACATTTTAGGATACATATATGGGATTTAAGTCATAGTGACATATGTCCAAGACATACAATAAATATACAAAGGTATGGACCGATAAATACTATGCAATTGTCATCTTGCAAAACTGAAAAAGATATGACCCATCAATACCTGGTATGTTAATATAATATATAATTATTTATATATTATATTTTATATAAATAAGATATACAATAATGTGTATTGCAGGCATTTGGAACACAAGCTGGAAATGTAGAAATATACAAATTGAAATCAGACTTTTGCTATACCAAGAAAGAAGACTACTTGCAGGAATTGAATACTTTTATGCGTTACGTCGCAATTTTATAATTAAACTAAGATCTTTAACGATGAACACAGGATTGTTTTGTACTTCCAGTTTATTAATGCATATACTTATTTTATCCAGGGTACTTGATACTTAGTTCCAGGACAATCTTAAAATCACTATACAAAAGACATTTTTATCAGCTGTAATATTATACTGCAAAAACTGTGAAAGATCTTAGGAAACGTACTGATCCGTCCAGAAGCAATTTTAAACTACGACGATAATTTAAGTGGCAGAAGCCGCGACGTGTACAAAAGTATTATTATTTATTTGCACAGTATTCACATTCTCGGATATGTATCATTCATAAATTGTATACAAACCATTGTTTTATAATATAAAGAACTCCTTAAATAATGTACAATTAATAAAAAATAGGTTTCTGTGATTTATTAACTGTAATTCCATTCACACATTTAATGAATAAAATTTGTATGCAATGATGAAATGATGACGGCCGATTTATTATTCAAACACTCAATAATTCCTTGGGAATATAAAATAAAATATATATGTATATAAATATATGACCATAAAAGAAACCTAAATCTGTCGAGCCACTACAAGGATATTGCTTCACAAGTTGTTCGACGATATCTTTGTAACTGCGTATGTTCATCTGATGAGCGTCGATTTGTAGATGTTGCGTTTCCTCCTGCAAACAAAGTATTTGCATTTGTTTTACATATCCCGTTCTTCGCATAATTCTGACAAATTTTACGTTGCATTCGCACATGACACAACATTCCTAAATAATGTGCGATTACTGTTCTTGGGTCGAACAAATTCTAGCAAGGATTGTAATCGAAACTAAACCGGAAAAGAAGCCCCGAGTACACGTGGATCCTGTAATAGTGGTTCATGGTGGCGCCGGGAAAATCCCACGGAAAATACGCCATCGTATGCTTATCGAGGTCATAGAAAATATTTTCACAAGGAGTATCCTTTGCAGACCCGAAACAGCCTTAAATGATAATCCCAGAAATGAAGAAATAATTCACGTGTCTGTATAGGTTAAGAATGCATCGATCGAGGCATACAAGGATCTCGTCAACGGTAAATCTGCAGTGCACGCAGTCGAAAAAGCAATTTCGTACATGGAAAGCAAACCACATTTCAATTGCGCTAAAGGAGGATGCATGGACGTCAACGACGAAGTCGTAATGGATGCAACTATTGTTACACCAGAGGATGCTGGTTGCGTGGGTGCTGTCAGAGACATAGAACATCCAATCTCTCTAGGTTTATTCGACATGAGCAGCTCTATGGGAATATTATTAAAATAGAAACCTGGAGGGATTAAAAAATATCTTGTCCCATTTTCTAGCAAGAAAAGTATTGGAACGAACGGAGCATGTACTGATCGTTGAAAATGGCGCGCAAAAATTTGCTCGGGATAACGGAGTGCCCATTTTACCACCGGGTAGTTTGAACATAAGAGACTCATTGACATCGCATTATTCGAACGAGGAAATTCATCGATATTGCACGAACAGCGAGGCAGAATTAGATGAAGCTGAATTGGAAGAAAAAAAGGAAAAAGAATGCGATTCGGATTGCGTAGTTACACGATCAGACGAGGAAGAAGAGCACATTCACCGCGATCTGTCAATTGACTCGAGTGGACAGTTGGATGAGCCAACTATTTTGCAGGTAAGAAATAATTTAACCTGTATCACTCCAAACAGTAGTCTCACTGCCAATACATCAAACACAATTGTACCAGTAAAATATGTATGAATTTTCTAATATTTCATGCTTACCCAACATTCATAATTGAGTTCCTTTGAAACAAGCAAACGTTATTTAAAGCAACTGGCAATCATTTTAGGATATTCTTAGAGCATTTAATTAACGTTTAATTTAAATAAACGAAGAGAATTAATTTAGACTGGTGCTGTCGGTGCAGTCGCATACGATCGAAAAAAGCGATTAGCGAGCGGCACATCGACGGCGGGAGAACCTGGCAAGCCGATTGGTTCCGTGACTGCAGTCGGAACTGTCATTGGCTGCGGCGTCTACGCGAACGAACATGGATGCACTTCCGTTTCAGGGAATGACGCTTGGATCTATTGCTACGCGCCAGCACGGAAAATAGTTGAAAGGTTACCCCGGGATGCAACTCTCAGCTATTCGTTAAACACGGAACTGGAGAACTTCCAGGTAGAAACCGGGGAATCACATATCGGTGCCGTTGTGCTAAACGCGAAAGGCGAGCCTCGCGTTTCCTTCAAATGCATGCACTTCCCCTGGGCCGTTTGTCGTTACGGTTACGTGTATTACGGGGCTACGCCGAACGAAGAATTCCGTGAAAAAGTGACCGTTCTCGAGCGACCTTTAGACTGCATGTGCAATGCATCCTCGGATGAAGATTAACTTTGACACGTTGTATGTACCGCATATCAATATCTACGAATATTTATTTTCGAAAACAGCGATGAACTGCGCAGTTCGAGTGAACTACTTTATCGACCGAGCGAGCCGTTTATTGGCGCGTTTTTAAGATTTTAAATTTGAACGTTGGTCATCGTTTACGATTGTTGTACTTTTACGTACCGAAAATATAACGTTGCTGTTCGTGTCGTATAGCCCGTACATGGAGAACGATGGTACTTGGTCTTTGAACGTGTTGCCAAAAAGATCATTCATTTCTAGCAGCATTGAATAAATCTCCTCGCGCCGTAGATCTGTCAAGTTCTGATGCGTCAGTACCTGTGATCAATATAAAAATTGATATCTCTGTTTCGTTTCAGATTTCTCGGTTAGATATTTTTTTGTTAATTACTGTGTTTAACGGAGTCCAGGCAAGCGTGCAGACGTTCGCTTCGTCGCCGTCCGTCTCTTTGAGGCACAGGGTACGGTAGCCATTTTTACTTGAGTGGTCGTTGCGGGATTCCGACTTTAAATTGCCTAAGAAAATTATTATATTCACAGGAATAAAACGGGAAATTTAATGGTGAAGTTCTATATTATCATGAAGCTAAAGAAAGTCTTTACCAGTCTTCTTCTCAATGTTCTTCAGGTTAACGAAAGCCACATCTCCATTGCCAGACTCTAAACACTGGAAGGCGCTTAAATCGCCTCCAAAACTGCCTATAGCAAATTAAATGCGATATTTGTTCACTGTTCCAGCCATCGTTGCTAGGTAATTATTGAAACGTCTGCTCTGTTTACCTGGCGAGTATAAATTACTTGGAATTTCCCCTTGAATGTCAGTAAGGCCGGGAACGACGCCCTCACCGAAGAAGTTTGAAATTGCTCGTACATCCGAGCACTCCAGTTTGGTGCCAGTTATATTCCTCAGAACCGAGAGAACAGTGTACCAACCTGTATTCAAAGAATTTTCCATTGAAAGTAACACAAGCAAGAACAAAATAATATGACTGAAAAAGGAAGAGAATGAGCCAGCGCACGGTTATCCTTACCGACATCTTTATACCCTGTGAAACACGCTTTGGCCCCTCTGAGATCTCTCAAGCTTCTGAACCATGAATCCTGTTTGACGATCGCTGCGATCCGGTTGAACTCGTTATTCTTCTTGGGTATCGCTTGTACCAGCGACTTCAGCCCCATTCTGAAACGGTACTTCAGATAATGTGAAGGTCACCGCTTTCTCATGTATGCAGCGTTCTTTGCTCACAATCTGGCGTCGTACAGTTCCTCGGGCCGGGCGACAAATACGTCCGCCTTGTTGTTTTTAAGTGCCTCCAGGCACGCTGACCTCGATGACTCCTGCTTACAGGATATAGTGGGCTCCACGCCGTAAACGAAGGAGGCTTCTCTGAGCCACCGGCACTTTCGATCCTCCAAATTCGACGTGACGCACCATTGCACTCTTCTCGACGGACGGCAGTTCGCGCGATTGTTAGCGCTCATGAAACCAGGAACTGCAATTGATATATATATAAAGACTGTAGAAGAGATCATCGTAGTATATTCTTAGCAACGCTGGCTGTATTTTCTTATTCTTCAAATTCAAGAGAAAACAGAACAATACTGAAGTTCCTAGATTTCTACGTCACTTAATTACATTTTACTAAGTAGTCTTCCGGCGTTTCTAGGGTGTCCATGCTCACCGGCGTCGGGTGGAAGTTCTCCAACAAATCACGCATAATCCAACTCGACTCCTGCTGCTCGAACGAGCTCATCATCTTCTCGACTTTCTCGGCCACCTCCCTGGAAGAACGCGCTAATTGCAGAAATTCGAACAATCAAACTTCAACAACCTGTTACTCAACTTCTGTACTGACACTTTGGCGACGATGACCGGCCATGGTCTGGTGATCCACACGCACGGTTTGTCGATCTTCATGGGCCTCGTGGTCCCATCCGGGCAAAGATAATTGAAATTTTCTTTGCTGATCTGCTCATCCTATATCATCACACAATGTCACTGATCCGTATCAAGGTTGAGCTAGTCAGAATGATAGATTGTAGCTAGACAAGCGATGATATGCGACCGATGATCTCATTCGTTTGTCTAACTTCAGTCGATGTCAAATTAATCCTGACTTTCGTCCTCCTACCTTGAAGTGCTCGAGAGTGTCGTCTAATCGGACCCATGCGATGTCTCCCACGTTATCAGTGAGACACAATAAAGCACCCTCCCGGCCGTGATACTTATCACTCGAGTAACAGCCAAGAGGATTGTCGCACGCGGCGCAGAGGTTCCGGTACTTGGATTCTGGGCCGAAAAAAGTAGAAAATAGAGAGTGCGACGGAAAAAGCAACACGGTGCGTACCGTTATGAGATTACTTGATGGCTGAGAAACTCGGTCGATCGGCTTTTCATTTTTTTCTCTCCTCCAACTTTCTATTCATTTTATTTCCTAGCTCCTTATATCTTCGACCAACGATTTACCATTTGCCTAATGCGTTTACACTTCGCCAATCGAAACTATGAAACTGTGAAACTAGAAAGGCGCCTGTTACGCTAGACATCAAGTTATCTCTCGATTTAGGTGGAAGGGCACCTACTCAGCTTGCTGTCGAACGTGGTGTCAGCGGACCAAGGACCGGCGATGCAAGCTGCTTGAAAGAAATTGGACAGCCCGTTTATCCTGTTCTCCAGCAGCGTCTTCTCGGGATCACACTCTTTGGTAATTATCCATTTCTCAAAGTACTGTAGGAACATACGCGTGAACATCACGAATTCACTTTATACACGGCGTCCCATCGTTCCCGGTACAACCAAGAAGACAACCACGCGAAACCATGATTGGAAAGTATGGCGTGAAGTTTATTTATACGAGGCGTTACACGTTCGATAACGGTTCTAGCCGAAGATTAATATCTCCGCTTGTATTGCTATTTATCGGGGAAAGGTGGAATACGCATGATAAATGTTAATACTTTAGAGATTACCGGCAGTACTTCTCACTGTGCCGATGAAACTTTCGTGAGATCCTCGACGCGTTCCAGCGTTTGATTTTATCAGAGTACAGAATTGATTCCACGCGTGATTCCAGAAATAAAGACCCAGATAAGGCGGTATGCACGTAGCAAATATTTAAGTAGACATCCATGGTAATGAAGCTCCCGAGCGAGCAAATATTTTTGGTTGTACCGTCGATTAAGGAACACCCTGTATTTGTTTATATTTACCCACTCCATGAACGTAACATTTTTTTAGAATTATCATCGACGGTGTCACGATAGAATTTCGCTAATTGCCGAATGGAGTGCATTGAATACCCGTGTGCACACGTATTTATTGGACATACGGTATCGTTCAGAATATTATTAACCGTTGAGAAAGCCTTAGTCCATTTGTCGACGGTGTCGAGTCCAGGGTGGCAGAACCGTTTTCCCTTAAGGTTCCATATACTTTTAACATCTTTGTTGACTAGAACTACCATCTCGAAACGTTGTTTCTCTGATGAAAAAAAGAAAAGAGTGCTGTTGATTTTCTATTCGAATTGGAAACATTAGGATCTCGTTTCTTTTTTTTGCTGTAGCATTTGCAGTTACCCTCTGGAAGTAATCTTAACTCGTTGGTGACTAGAATGTTGTATTCGTTGTACGCAGATGCCGCGACAAGGTCTTCCGGTTCCAGAACTGTGAAATCAGCCAGGCCCATGGTCAATCGCCGCAGGCAATTGAATCTGCGTCACACGGTTTCCCTTAATTCGAGTTTCATCTTAACGCTTTACTTGTCGACGGTACATTGAGGAAAGTACGCTTATAGTATATTTCTGAGAAAATTATTGGGAAAATAATTATACTATATTTTTATTTGAATAAGAATCTTGTAAGGACCATTAGTTCTCAGATGATCGTGTTAATTATCAAAATTCACCGGCGATAGGTAAAGCGTTAATTATCTGTCGGTAGATAGTCCCATTTAAATGCATGGTACTCGTCGTACCGTTTCTAATAGTCTGTTATACTCGCCTATCGTTTCCAATAACACACTCTACCTGACTCCCCGTGGTCGTCAGTTGCGGGCAAAATAGCCGGATCCTTTTCGCCGTGTGTACGCTCTCGACGACGCATAGTTTCACTGAAAGTTTTCGTTTCCCTTCTTTACATTGTGATACAATTAAGTAGGGAACACTTAAGTGAAAATCGCAACTAATTGCGGCTCTATAGCGCGCAAGGTCATCGCTCGAGGATTATTTATATCAGTGCAACACGTCTGCGATACGTTAAGCGCAAAATTATTTAATCGTACAACTATTCGTTCCTAACGCTAACTTTCTAGAAATAATATTTTTATTAAATTAAAAATAATTCATTTTATATAATTTAAAATAATTCATTTCATAAAATACGAAATAGTAATACACCTAGTTATGTATTTCGGATTAGCTTTGAGTTTAAAAATAAAAATTCAAACATTCGATTTTTGATATTAGATCTGCAGTATTCAGGTCGGTTAATTAAAAACTACTTAACTATGGGATCGAACGAATGAAAACTTGCAAGTATACTCTCTTAGCTTTTACTTTATTTTATGAATTGAAATATTAAAAAGTATCTACTCACACTTTTCAGCGTTAATATGTTGAGAAAGCAACGCAAGCAGGAAAAGTAAACCATAGAGTCGGACGTTCATTTTCACTGTCCAGCCGTGCAGCATCCTATCTTAAAGACAAATAATCACACGTCTCGAATCACTTCTATTTCGAACACTTCATTGACTGATCTTAACGCAACGATCCCTTCGATCGTTCCGAACCCGAGAGTTGATTGTTTGGAGAAGGGAATAACAGTAATCCAGATTTCGGTAAACAGTTATCGTTCCATCCTACCCGCAAGATCAATGTTTCCCCGGTAAGTGTGCAATCAGATTTATGAACCGTTATTCTAAACACACGTCCTGACACTCTCCTGTATACTCCTACTGCACTTATACATTCCTAGAAGCTGTTAATCACCGTTAAAGAATGGATACGATCAATCTCGTTCGAGAGAGGAGACTGGGGAATACCCCAGCCAGCGGTGGCCGTACGTTAACATTCATCTATCTGTATGTTAATCTCGCGTGAGGAAAAACGAAGAATAATAAGAATAAGTGTGACAGAACCGGTGGAAGATCAGTTCGAGCCAGGGCCGCATTAATGATTTCACAGGCCTCAAGCGTCGTGCAAAAAATATTTACTCTGAACGAGAAAAACGACCTCAGCGTGGGCATCCTTAACCCTGGAAAGACTATAAGAAATGATCTCTGAACACGATCATCTGTTCACTTATTTCTCCAAGAATTGATTTCTTAAAGAGGCTAGTACGCAGTAACGAGTACACTTTTTCCTCGATATTTTATATGAGAGAAATAATGTGTTTTTAATGTTTTCCAATCGGAGGTTTGGGAAATTCTACCCCCCCACTCCTTAGTCTTTGTAGGGTTAATTCAACCGACGATGATACCGGCCGCTTATTGTTTCCCTGCGATTGTATTTACCTTCGCACGCTCGTTTCGGTTCGGTTCAGTGTTTAAAATAGAAAACAAGGGAACAGAAGTGACCGAGAATTTCGAACGCGGATGACTAGACAGAATGATGGGAAATTAGTCAGCAAGTATGCAGCGGCATCGTGGAAAAACAAATATGATCACGGTATTCTCGATCGATAATTCGGCCGGCGATGTTTGAACATCAGGGGGTTCCCCTGCGTCTTCTTCGACGTCCTTGCGCTCGCACAAGTTCACGAAGACTGAGCTTCATCTGCGGCTAAATGACCGGAATCATCTTGGTGGGGATTGACTGCGCAATAAATGCATGTGTGCTCGTCGACGTCCGTTCGAAACGGACTCGGGCCATTTTTTTTTTCTTTTTTTTGAAGAACCAGATATTTTAGAATGAGCCGGACATGTCCTCGGTACTTTTTAAATGAATTATTATTATTTCTATTATCGTTAAACACTATGTTAAGGTACTTTATTTTTAGAGCGATGCCGTGTTTCCCGTGTACGGGCAGAAAATGTAATTTCCAGTGCAATCAACATAGAACCAGTTGAGTCGTACAATTACAGAAAGTTAATGTTCTGGACAGAATTTCTTTTAACAGTAAATATAACGAATATTTATCTTAGTTGAAGAGACACTCTGTAGAGTTTCCTCGTAGTTTCCTGATGAGTCTGTGATATTGGAATTCTGGAAAAACAATTTGAACGTGAGTTTTTGATCTCGAGATACTGAAATTGTAATTACTTTGTTTGCACGGAAGTAATGAATGTACTAATGACACATATGTGGCTACCAACAAGTTGGTGGTTGTTAATCGACATGTTTGAACTATTAGTATTACAAATATCTGTAAATGAAGTAAAGAACAAGGCACGTATCATGAAATGTGAGTCTCTCTCGGTATGAGATAATTTTAATCAACAATGATAGGGGCGTTTTATACAATGTATCAACGATGACTACAACATACAATTATATTTGGATTAACAAACTTGCGAGGAAATGTTGAATAATATTATTACTATTTTTTTTACGAAATTTCCAATTTTATTTCTATATTGCTTTTACAGTTGATCACCTTTATCTTTGATACAACTAACCTACAATTATTTATATACGTCTTTTATTTGTTTTTTAACGAAAAACTTGGCAGCGTTCATTTGAAAGTAGCAGTCGTTTCAAATTTAAATCGAATTACCCTCGACAATATCGTACACGCTTTATTCGGGTCCCCATGCTTATGTTGCATTTATTTTTACATTCCATAAAAATTAGTACGAGAGGAAAGAAAAACAATTACGACGATTGTTATCTGTAGTGCACACTCAGCGATATAACATAGTACTATATATTTCACTTTTTCCCTATACGCGCGCGTCGACATGAGTGTACTGAACTTGGAATAGGAGGTTCGTTCATGTGTTGTGTGTCAGCCGCTGTCGGTCCATTCACCTACACAAATTTCTCGTATATTAATAAAAATTATCTTATTATTCAATTGGTTTCAGAGATACGAGGGGGACGACCGTAAATCTGCTTTTCCAACCAAGGCAAAAACGTCTTGAAATGTTATCAACCAGTTAATAAATTACATCCAAGAGATGTGTTGGACGCATCAGATACACTCCCGAAACGCAACAGTTATTCCAATGCTCGTTATCATGACACACTCTTCGTTCTGACAGCGTAAACGTTGTCAAATAACGGCGCAGCAGAGCAAGTCTTTTGCATCATAATCATCGTTTGATAATGGATGTGCTGAAGGTATTGGCTATTTCAACGTTTACCAATAGAGTGAATAGCACAAAGTCTGCATCTAATGTCAAAAAAAAAGTTTTTGGGCAATACTTTATTTTTTTGACACTTAATTGTTCATATATTTATTAATCTTTCTTTATTTTTAGGAAGCACCAGAGTGCTGATTATGATTTGGAATGGTAATGTTTAAAGAAATATTTATTCCATAACTTTTCGATTGTACCTGTTTTTATTAATAAAGATCAGAAAAGATGAAGCTAAATTACAAACAGTTGCCTATAAAGGCACATTATTTTTTCTTCATGGCAGGTAAATATATAAACGTGATTTAACACGAAAGCATATTTTCTTGCACTAATTATTTCTTTATTACAGCAATGGGTCCGATTCTGCCATTTTTCCCAGTCTATGGCAAACAACTTGGAATTTCCGCGTTAGTTATGGGTAGCATCACAGCCGTTCTACCAATTTTGTTTTTGATTGCCAAACCAGCCTTTGGATTTTTGGTGGATTATTTCGATTCTCGGAGAAAAACAATCTTTGTAATATTATTGGCAGGAACAAGCATATCTTTTATTTGCATGTACTTTCTACCTCCCCTGCCAGGACCAGTCTTGCCGAACCATATATTTCAAAATGTATCCTGTGCATCATTAACACATTGCTCATTAGAGGTAACTATTTTATTGCATTCATTTTTATTTCCAAGCATATATTTATGATTCTGTATTTATTCAAGGACATTTCAAGACCAGGTTTATGCATGGAAGCAAAGAATACACTGTGCCATTGGACTTGTCCTGATAACAATTTTTCTGTGCCAATACAGTTCAAAGCAGTTGAAGGAGGAGCAAGTTTTAGTGACAATACCTCATGTTTACTTGACATGGAAAGTACTTTATATTGTAATAATAATACTTGTAATGTTACCTGTGATAATTTTAATGACAAGGATTGTCTTTATACATCTCTAACATTCTGGGGCTTTGTTCTTTTAATGTCCCTTGGAAATATTGGCTTTAATGTATGCAACAGTATAAGTGATGCAATTTGTTTTGATATTCTAGGTATATATTACATACTCTGATATGTATGACTGAATTTTATGTTTATCATTTAATATAATATTGCCTAACAATTTAATTTTCAGGAGAGGGTGGTCAAATGGGATATGGTAGGCAGCGTGTATGGGGAACAATAGGGTTCGGAATTTCCGCCTTTTTGGCTGGTTATGCAGTAGATTATTGGTCAGAAGGAAGCATCATCAAAATTTATACACCTGCATTTTTATTAATCTTTATCTTTTCCTTTATTGATATACTGTGCTGTAGGAAATTGAAAGTGAGTATATAATTAGTGCTTTACAGTTCATTAATTTCTTTTTGCAATTTTTTTTTATTACGAGTAATCTATTGAGTATATTTCCTACAGCTACCAGTTATGGCAGGTTCAGGAAATATATTAAAAGATGTTTTTCAGCTTCTAAAGTATAAACCTATAATTATATTTCTCTGTTTTGCAACAATTGCCGGTATTCTAGACAGCTTCATAATTTACTTTCTATTTTGGTAAGTTTTTAAGTTCCCAAAATATCGGATTTTATCATTTGATGAAGTAAAATGTAACTCAAAGGATAAAAAATGTTTATGAAGAAAACATAACATTTTAAATAAAATGAATGCATTTTCAACAGGTATTTAGAAGATTTAGCACTGGTGACTGGATATATGGATAAAGGAATTAAATTAATAGAAGGATTAATTGTTGCTGCAGAAACTTTGGGTAGTGAAGTAGTCTTCTTTCCCCTATCTGGTACTTCTTTTCATTCATTTGTCTTTAAATACGACTTATATTTACCTCGTGAAATCGTATAAATAAACATAAATATTTCTGCAGGTAAAATTCTAAAGAAGTTAGGATTTGGATATACATTTACATTCTGTTTCGTATGTTACTCTTTACGATTGGGCTTAATATCACTTGCACCTAATCCATGGTTAGTAATTCCGATAGAATTATTTATGCAAGGACCTACTTATGCTCTTTGTTACACATCAATAGTGGCTTATGCAAGTAAAGTCGCACCACCTGGTACATCAGCTACTGTTCAGGGTATTGTAGCTGGCATGGATGATGGTTTTGGTAAATAATTTTTTTTTTAATAGTGTGAAAATCTTAATATCTTACTACATATATTATAGATATATTTAATTAAAAATACAACAGCGTACGTTATAATATTGATTTATTTTAGGATTCGCTATCGGTAGTTTAATAGGTGGAATTTTATATAAATTATTCGGAGGTGTTACAACATTACGGTTATTCTCGTCACTTGCCGCTGTGACTGCATTAACATACCTCATTCTACATCTAGTGTACTTAAAACATACAATGCCAGGTATAATAAACACAATTCTTTAATTGCATGAAATATACTTTATACTTTGCTTCCTTATAATGTATTACCTTTTTGTTATTTATAGATACAAAGAGTACTGTAGAGTGGAAATCACCTCAGGAAGCAAAAGATACGTGTGTTGTTGCAGGAACATAGTTTTATAAATTTTATAAACCAAAACTTATTTCTAAAGGAAATGAAACTTTTTATACATGATGCAGTAACTATCATACTGTGATTTGTTAGTGGTTAGTTACTATATGCATATTGTAATATGTTAGTCAAAAAGTCATGTTGTATTGTTAAAAGAAAGTTTAAAAGACAAAATCAACATTTGATACATCACAATATACATAGGAAGAAAGACAAAACTTTTTGGCTAACCTGGTATTACTTACATATTTATATAAGTATACATAAAGATAAGACAGAAAATATTTTACAAATTTGAACATACCAGTGAATAAAATAAATAACACAAAAGTGTGGAACGCATATTTTTGTGATGAAAATAATATTTTTTAATGTGAGAAAGTGTAACAAGTGTAACAGTTGACAATCATATCAACTTCATTTTGTAGCATTACAGGTATAAATTTTAAAGTTTAATGACACGGCTTTTACGCGTGTCACGCGTCCAAAAATGACAGTAAGACGCTCACTGTCGCACTGATTGGCCGCTCGGCAGATGCTCCTTTTTCCTATAAATATGCTGACTTTTTTTCCTTGAACATCAGTTAACAACATTGGCTCGCGTAATCAACAACCACCCAGTCTCAACAATAAACGTAGAAACAAACATCCAAAATCAACCTCTGTGTTGATAAAATTGTTAGAATCACTGTATTACTTCAACATTGTACTTTTAAGTATGAAATTATATTTTTTTTAGTGAAACAAAACAAACCAGTTCAACAACCTTATTACCCTATCACTGTAAAAAGTCGTAGGGTCCAAGCGTGAAACGCAAAGTCGAAAACTGAAGTAACGACTAACCTCGACGCGGACGCGAACGCGCTCGCGAACAACGTGTCTATTTAAAAATCAATTAGTTTTAGTCATTTGTGAAGGAAAAATGATTTGTTTATTGCATTTTGCGTAACATTAAACTTCAACAGCTGTTGTTTCGCGGTCATCACGTGACTGGTTCAACAAAAATGACAGATGCGTGGCGTTTGGACACCTTGCCATTTGACGTTCTAGTCTTAATTTTCAATTACTGTCATGCATTCGATTTGGTACGACTCAGTGAAGTGTGTACACGATTTTACGACATTATACGAGGAGAAACACTTTGGGTCAAGAAAAGTAAACAGCCGATCGTGACGAACCAATCAACAAGAAAGTTTCGAGAAAGGTTTGTTAGGTTATAGTTGTTCTGCTTTTGACAACTATATTCAAACTTTCATGAAATTTCTAATTCCTTTTTATGACATCTCTTCATTTCCATGCACTTGTGTATCTTATAAATTCTGATGTATGTTAATTTACAAGATATTGTGCATATAAATTAATACATGATTAAAAATTCAAAAAGCTTCAAGTAATTTTTAGTTGTTTCATGTTTCCTATACAGTTGTGTAATTAATCAAATAAAAATTTATCGAATGAAATTATTTTTCTATTTAAGTAGCTTACAGTATCAAAATACCTATTTTATAATTGTATTTACTATTACATCATGAAAATTATTGATGAATTGTAGGTGTAATCCACTATTATGTTTGCGCACAAAGTGGCATGTTTCACACAACTGGCAGTACGGTAGATATGAGAAAAAAGTCCTTTTCTCACAAAAAACGAAGCTTATGCCATGGGTGCAACTAACTAGCGATGTATTATGGTGGAGCGGTGGGAATCAGTTGTGTGGTTTTAAACGCACGGAGACTTTCCCAGAGAATAATCTTATTGTAGTTAGAGATATTGTTGGGAGTGATATATGCAAGTTTATTGTTAGGAATGGTTGCATCATTACTGGTCACAGGTATTGAATGTATAAATCACTGACAAAAATGACAGTGATCAAATTCGACATTTGATTCTTATAAGACTAATAAACTTTCTCAGCAATGGTAGTATACAATTTTGGACAAAGTCAAGATATAGTGAAACTATAGACTTTTACTGTTGTCTTGCTATAGCACATACTTGTGATGTAAATGCAATAGACGAGACCCGTAATATAATTCTATCTGGTTCCGAAGATGGAATCGTGAAGGTAATTCAGACAATATAAATCCATATAACAAGCTTCAGTTATTAATTTTTTAATTCGATATTAAGTTGAATGAATGAATCTAGGTTTGGAGAGGACCTGTAGGACAAAGAATTCGGGATGTACCGTTAACAACATTAAATATTGCAGATAAGGTATGGTCCCTTTCTGCAAACCCAACAGGTAAAAAATTTGCTGTAGGCGCAGCTGGATACCGATACTCTACTACTAGAGTACCTCTACATATTTTCGATATTGAAAGGTATGTTAGAATTTACATTTAATATAATAAAAAGCTATTAATATTCTGTGTAATATATGAATGCGTTTTATATATTTTCAGAGACATGAGAGATTCAATGACATAATAAAAACATTTTAGTTACAGTGAATGCGATATATTAAAACATGAATGCAGAAGAGGAGCAGGAATATTAGATATGGTCTGGGATAATCCACAAATTTTGCTTACTTGTGGATATGACACTTACATTCGAAAATGGGACTTACGGTAATGCAATGACCGAATTTTATAACTTAATTTTTATCACTCCATAACTAAATTTCCTCTTTGAAATAAACAAAATTTATTTGGAGCAACTGACAATTATTCTACGATATTCCTAGAGTGATAAGGGTTAATAAGGAATCGCATACTTATGAACATATTTTTGAAGTCGAGTTTATTCTTTCTTCAGAACTGGCACATGCGTAAGTGCATGGGGAGACCCAACAGATGCAACTGTATATTGTATATCATCGGATTATTACAATACGATGATCACTGGAACTCAATCTAATTGCAAAGCTGTTTTATGGGATCAAAGGCAAAAAAGCTATGTACAGGTCAGTGCATGAATATTTTTTAAATAATATTCATTAATATTTTTTGGATAACATACAATATTTCTATTTTCCTTGTAGCTATATTTTCTGAGTCTTAATAGAATGTCAAGCCCTGTTTATTGTTTGAGCTTTGACAGTTCTCATTTATATGGAGCCACAGATCAGCATGTAGTTGAACTTACATTCTCAGGATATTCATACAAACAAAATAATTACAGAGAAATTCTTAGATACGATCCAATAAGGACACATTAGGTGAGCACAAATTGTATTATACAAACGATTATAAATTCAAAATCTTTAGGGATAACCTTGGTATTGTACAAAAGAGTCAGAGTTTTAAAATTCCTGGCGAATCCTTCTAATAGATCATAAAGATTCACGTAAACTGAGATATTTTATAATTTGAAGTTTCCAGAAGATTCAGTTCTAGGTTAAAAAGTGAATCACAGTGGAACAATTTATAAATACTTTATTATGTCAACAAGTATTCCCACGGATTATTTAAAAGATGACTAAAAAATATTTAAAAAAAACTTCACTCGACCGAAACATAAACATTATTTATTCTGTAAATTCGTAACGAATATCGAACTGCTAGGACGACTTTGAACATTCTCCTATAAGACGTCAAAATGTACAACTGTTTCGTTTAAAAGAATTTGTACTGCTCAAAAATAAATATACGTGTCCAATGTAATTGATCGTTGTTGTTCCGTTACCTATTATATGTTCCGTAATAAAAAAAAAAGCAATGTCGTATTCGTTATAATTCACATATTTTACTATGTATAAAGGATATGGATACATTCAGACATTCCTATGTTGCCAGTCCAAACCCCAGAGTTAAGTATTGTGTTAAGTAACATTTTGCGATATAATAATTCAGATTTGATCTGCTATCCAATGTCTATCAAAGCATTTTCCTAATCATGTAGTTTAAAATACCACCATGTTTGAAGTACGTTAAGTCTACTTCGGTGTCGAATCGTACAATTACTTCGAATTTCTTTCCGTTATCTATCGTAACGGTAATCTTCTGGCCAGGTTGACAATCTTCAGGGATTGGAATATCGTATGACTCAAGGCCAGTCAGTCCTAAGGACTCTGCATTTTGTCCAGGTAAGTATTGGAGCGGAACAATACCCATACCTATCAAATTTGACCTGGAAAATTACAGGGATAGCAATAAAATATTTTCAAGTACCTCCTAGAAAGTTCTACGTTTCAACATCCATTTCATCGCGGAAATAAACTCTAACGAGAATTATACATAAATTCTACATTTAATATTTCATATTCATATTTTCAAAAATGTTTACCTGTGTATTCTTTCGTAAGACTCAGCTATAACAGCTCTAATTCCAAGCAGATAAGGACCTTTCGCAGCCCAATCCCTGGAAGATCCGGATCCGTATTCTTTGCCGACAAGAATAATTAAAGGTGTTTGATCTTTCGCATATTTTTCAGCAGCATCGTAAACGTCCATCTGTAAATTAAATAAAAATTGTATAAATACATATTGCATACATGAAACTTTACTTGCCAACAAATATATGACGAACCTCTTCATTTGTAGGAATGTAAATCGTACGTGGTCCGGGTTTACCGATGAATTTATTTACCAAACGAATGTTGGCAAAAGTACCTCGAGCCATGACAGCGTCATTACCTCTACGCGAGCCATAAGAATTGAATTCCTTTGGCGTTAATCTGAAAGTCACGATCTGAATTATAATAAGCCTTAACATGCGTTACAACGAATAATAACATAAAAATTAATTGTAACTGAAACGTACCCATGATTCGCAAGGTATCGCGCTGCTGGAGAGTTACGGGCAATGCTACCAGCCGGACTAATATGATCAGTTGTAACAGAATCGCCAAGATTTAGAAGAACGGTCGCTTTTTTTATTGGTTTGATTTTCGGTAGTTCCTACACGTATGTAAAATAATATCAGTAAAGAGAAAAAAGACAATGTAAAGCTGGCATCTATAAATCAAATTTAGGGGTCTCTATAAAATACCTTTTTCAGTTCATCAAAGTACGGTGGATTCTTAATATACGTTGAAGTCGGATCCCACGGATACAATTCAGCGTCAGACGCTTCCAAATTCGCCCAGTTGGAGCTACCTTTCTCTATTTTACCATAAACTTCCTTAAACATAGCTGGAATCACATATTTTTGTTCTACCGCTTGAATGTCGGCTCTAGTAGGCCAAATATCTTGAAGATATATTGGACTGCCATCCGCTCGACGACCTGAAAATTGTCGAAGTCGTTTGAAATCTATAGTGACTCATGTGATTTATATCTATTTACCTAATGGCTCCTTTTCAAAGTCTATGTCCACTGTGCCGGCGATGGCGTAAGCGATTACCAAAAGCGGTGACGCTAAATAATTTGCCCTTGTATTGGGATGAATCCTACCCTCGAAATTACGGTTACCGGAAAGTACACCGCAACACACGAGTTCATTCTAGTTCAACGGAGGAGAAAAATATTTAACAATGAGAAATTCAGAAAAATAGCATAGTAGAAAAGAAATACACTATTTCCAACTTCTTACTTTCTCAATGGTTTCAACGATAACGTCAGGGAGGGGACCGCTATTACCTATACAAGTCATACACCCATAACCGACAATGTCGAATCCCAGTATCGTCAGGTATGGAACTACCCCGCTCTCTTCCAGATAATAAGTGACCACACCTGAACCCGGAGACAGGGATGTTTTTATGTAAGGCGCGACAGTTAAGCCAGCTTCAACGGCATTTTTTGCCAGGAGACCTGAAAGTTTGATGATATTCGTATTATTATTTTAAAATACTGCATTTCTTTTATAGATAAATATATAATTTAAATGAGATATTCCATTGAAAAATGAAAACAGAATTATCATTCATAGAAATAAATTATATAAATTAAAAAGAAAATACAGTTTCTATTAATAGTTACTCTTGATAGTTGTTTACCTGCTCCTAGCATAACGCTAGGATTACTAGTGTTAGTACAGCTAGTGATTGCGGCAATGACTACGGATCCGTGCCTCAGCTTGTAATCCTTACCCTCATATTCAAACATACCCACGGCATCTATTTTTTCAGCGCTTAAGCCATATCCCTTAAATCCTACCTGAAAATAAAAGTGGTGCTTAGAAATGTGTCCATTCTATACAGTATGTTTGAATCTTGTATAAAATAAAGATTAAAAAATACTCGCATATGAACAGTATAAAAAACCATTTACAAAAGAAAAAATAAAAAATATTTTCTGTTTCTTTTTAAGTTCCGCTATTAAATATACTGTTACATATCAGATGCTCGAATTCTTTGACAATCAGAAAGTTTATCGACCTCAAAGTGTCAATGACTCTTGAATCTACGATTCATTGTCCAACGAATGATTCGCTGAAGAAGCACTCTCGTGTATTAAACCAGCAGTTCTAAGCTTATTTCGACATACAGTACTAATAGCGCAAAAGCGACGACGTCTTTTCAACAGTTATTTAAATATTTATTTTATATAATATTTCTACTAAGTTCTACTTATATATATAATATATATAATTTAAAAAATGTGCAGTATAGTAGAGTCTAAAAATTGTCAGTGCTAAAAGAAAAGGTTACTGGATGGCTAGGGTACAGTAATTACGTTCGAGGTAGGTAAACCGATCGGCGTCGGTGCCAAAATTTCTAAGGCCTATCCCTTGACCTGCGTGTATTGTTTTGGACAATTAAGACGGTCGATGTCATCGCAAAGGCTTCTCCTACCGCTGAAGGTTGTTCTCACTGTTTACACAGGTATCAAACACTGTTGTTATTCCTGTCCTTTTGATTTAGTAACTGACTACAATGCGAAAGTACCAAGTGTATAGAAGGCTCGCCGGGACAATAATCGAACGGTTCACAGAAGTCGTGTAAAAATATTCGGAAAGAAATTTGCAACTTATAATTGCAAAAATGATTATATAGAATTTCCGAATAGAAAATATTCAGAAACGATACGGTATCGCTATAAGTAACACCGATCGCTGCAATACGAAACAGAAGGAATAGCTACACGTAAAACGACGGTTTGCAACAAAATCTGTGGAGGTTCGCAAAACGAACCGCTGTCGTATCAGCAATTTCAAGCGAGGTCAGGCGACGTTCGTGGTTTAATCGAAGTCAGTCACTCGCTTTCTTCGTTAAATTCGTCATCGATCGATGGTTGGTACGTATATAAAACTATTTAATTTACACGATCCATAATTGATTCCTTTCTCTGTTTACTTGGACCATTTCTAAAAATCATTCGTTTATATAACTGTATTCAATTGCGAACTTGTAATTAAGTATGCCAATTCTGAAATGAAATTATGAGATAATTTAAGAAGTTGAGTGACAGTTTTCCTTGCTAAAAGTAAAATGATAACACGAGAGGTCGAAAGATTTTCGTACGTTTTATATTTTTGAAATAATAACGATCACTCTTACGTTTCTCGTCAAATGTAATTTCTAACTTTTAATACTCTGTAGGAACGTTCCTCGAATTTCACACGAGAGAAACGCGAGGTCTCTATGATTCGCGTGAACGAGCTTTCAGCAAATGTTCCTGCTGTGATAGCACAGTAACGCGATTCCGGTGTTGAACATCTTTCAATAGAAATCGATCGGTCCCTTGTTTTTAAAATCACCGCCGCTAATTGTTGCTGCATCACGTTCACACGACTTCTGTTTACAATCTGATACAATGCGCCGCTCCACTTGGTCGTTAAAACGTAACAGCCCTTAAATTTTCGTGAACCGTGTACCATTAAAATTTGTCACATCAACCGTACAGTGTTAAACACAAAATATTCCAAAAAGTCCATCCTAAACAAAGAAATAAAAATATTCAATTTGTTAACTTTATAGATGCCACCTTAAATAGATTGAAAGATATTTCATTTTAATGAATCTATTACGATGAACAATTGAATATTGTTATTTCATTCGACTCATAGAGCGAAGAAAGAGATCCTCTCTATTTGAAATATATCGAAGGCAGGAAATTCATGGAACGTTCACCAAGGTGGTAAGAACAGGCCGCACCACTTGGACGAAGGGTGGGGACGCCTTGAACATGTATAAATGGCCTGACCAGCGAGGAAGGTCATCAGTATGCAATTAACAGTGGTGTCGGTGATCACAGTCCTTGTCGTGCGACTCTCTACATTTTAGAGTTGATTTCAAGTACTGCTCTTGCTCGTACAGTTGATTTGTTTCATATTAACAATTTAGATACTCTGGTACAATAGTTTCTACGGACGCGTCAGTTACATCCTGAAATATCCAGCTTGGTCGAGGAACTTGGTCACGGAAAATAATAAAGGCTGCTGTCGGATGACATCCTGTTCGGTGTGGTTGGAATAATAGCCTCACCGGGTAGGATTCATCCAATGTCTGCTCCACTGTTCATCGATACCCGACCAGTTTCTTTCTACGACTGCCGACAACTGTGGTCTTGTTACCATCGACGAAGTATTCGTCTAGTGAAACGCTGGATCAAAGTCGTGACTAGATCGAAATACTCGTCCCTGATGGCAAGACTGATCATCGTGTATCGTGAGGAGTTCCAACTGTTCGCTAGAACGTCCTGTACATTTTTCTTTGGTGATCTAACTGTATGGTAAATCGGAGGATCATAAAGCTAGATCAGCAAGGCAAAATGTACGCGACATACCATCGACTCGTGTCACCAGCTCCGCCAAGAAGGTAATTCTCGTTTTCATCTTTGCAATAGCGGGACAGTGATTACACTTAAAATGCACATCGACTGCTTCTGGAAGAGATGCGAGAGTCCGGAGGAACTCTTGCTGTGATGTGTCATCATTCGAGGTTCATATCACAGCAGTAGTTACCTGGGATTCTCTCATCTTCGTCTACTGCTCTTTGGAACCACGAACAACACTCGAAGCTCTGACATAAACGAAACACTGCGTCACTGTGACACCATTGAAGTGCAACATGGGATAAACGTGATCCCGTTTGACGGTAATGATTAATCGTCACTGGGTTATGTTTGTCCCATACATGTACTGACTCATCATCTGCTCTCATTCTACACTTTCATGATTCTCGAATAGTTACACGTTTATACATTACTTTTGTTAACGGATGGTATGTTTCGGAACAAATTAGTTTTCTAGAGCGAAGAAATGTTGCAGTGATATTTTTATTCTTACCTTATTAGTAAGACAGTTCCTGAAGTCTATTTTCATGTCTGCGACGGAGATGCGGTCGTGAGGTCTTTTTGGACCACTGACGCTGGACACGATGGTTGCTAGATCCAAAGTAACTACTTTGGAGAAGATAGGGTCTTGGTTTCCGGAATCATAATCTCTCAACATACGTATGGCGGTAAGATATTTTTCGATCCTGTCAATGTGTTCTTCAGATCTTCCTATGAAATAATTCCATGAATATAGTTGACCAAGTGCGTTTTTTTGAACAGCAGTTTCTAGTGAATCATAATTTTGAGTATTTTAAGAGTGTATTTACCTGTTTGTCTCAGATATGTTAAACTCTGCTGATCAACTGGGAAGAATCCAACTGTAGCACCATATTCTGGACACATATTTGATATGGTCGCACGATCTGCGATGCTCAGTTGAGATACACCAGGACCAAAAAATTCTACGAACTTTCCGACTACTCCAATTTGACGTAAATTCTGCGAATCAATAGAATTAATACTGTATAAAGGGCAATGTATGTTACGCAATAGTAATAACAATTTTTGGACAATATTCGTACCTTTGTAATTGTAAGAACAAGATCTGTTGAAGTAACATACTGATTCAAAACACCCTCCAATCTATATCCTACAACTTGTGGTAGTAGCATAGATATCGCTTGCCCTAACATAACAGCCTCTGCTTCAATTCCTCCCACACCCCAACCAAGTACACCAAGACCATTAATCATAGTCGTATGAGAGTCTGTTCCGACTACGCTATCAGGGTAAAGCAAAGTATCTGTGTCAAATACGACTCTAGCTAAGTATTCTAAATTCACTTGATGCACTATACCACTACCCGGTGGAACAATTAACATATTTTTGAATGCTTTGGCTCCCCATTTCAAGAACATAAATCGTTCTTTGTTCCTTTCAAATTCAAGTTCTTCATTTTTTTTCAAAGCATCATTGCTGGAAACAGAATGATATCATTATCAAGACTGTTATCTTACTTGCTCAATATGACTATTATCAGTGTATTAAATGTTGCCACACTATCATTTCACTCATTTTAATGTCAGACAATTATTTTGAACTTAAGCCCTATTATGCAATAACTTTATGTTATATAAAATAAGAAATCTGCTTTGATAAGTTTTTCTATGATTCGGTAAATGTTTTTCTATTTAACACTAGTTAGAGGATATATACTGTGATGATAATTATAATATACCTTCTGATATAATCAACTTGTATCGAATGATCAATAACAAGATCCGATGGACAAATAGGATTTATCTTATTTGGATCACCGCCCAATCTTTTAACAGCATCTCTCATAGAAGCAAAGTCCACCACTGCTGGCACCCCTGTAAAATCCTAATTACGTACATGCATTAAATAACTTGTGAAATTACTTGTTACATACAATTAAATTATTATTTTTCATGTACCTGTAATATCACCCTGGCAGGTTTGAATGATATTTCTACGCCATCATCTGAAGCTTGATTTACTTCCCAATCTAAGATTTTTTCAACATCAGTGGTTTTCACTTGAAAATTGTCACAATTCCTAATTGCACTTTCCAGAAGTACTCTAATGGAAAAAGGTAACCTGTCTATACAGATCATTGATCTCATTAATTAAATAATTCTTATGATATTAAATAATATATGTATTAATTTACATGCACATACCATATTTTGTTCCAAAGCTGCTGATGTCATAATACTTGTATTCTTTAGATTCAATTGTAATGGATTTGAGCAGGTGATTATATGGGTTTTCTTCTAAAAATAAGAAAAACGATTAGAAAACTAATTAAAACTTATGTATTTTTATATTTCGAAATCAATACAATATAAAACATGCAGTATGGAATAAATTGAACATTTAACAAACAAACTTTGAGGTATTTTATTAAATGAGTGCAAATTCAATTAATTGTATGAATGAAATTAATTCAAAACGAAATGAAACGCACATCTAATAATTTATACTTCGTGCAAACATTTGAAAAACAAATAAAATAATTTAAACACGTGGAAAATACTTGCATAATGCAGTTGTCAAATGTAACAGGTGTCATAACTGTATTATGATCGATGTCACGTTGTATTTCCATTTAAAAATTAGTACTTTTAAAACTACGTAGTAAAACAATGCCAAATGCAGTATTCTGACGTGTTGTCATAAAACAAAACAACGTAAAAATACAAAATTCAAAAAGTTCTTTTATCCGGTACCTGTCCTTAAATTGGGACATCAAGCATAATATTATGCAAATATTGTAACACAAGTCACAGGATGGTACATTTATTTTTTTTGCGAGGTAAAGTTAAATTAAGGGCATTACTTGACAATAAGGCGCATCATTTTTACTTGTACTCGCTATTTTTCTTTAAATAATTGGGAAGAAACAAACACAGACCTTCGTACTTACCAGCCATGATTGTTACTGTACGAGTCACGTCGACCAGTTTGCTTGCGAAGCGAATATTATCTATATAGGGTGATACAAACAACCATTTTACGAATTCTTTATAGTGAGAAATTTTTTATCTTTTCCTTATTTCTAAACAAAAATAATAAACAATACAAAATCAAGATCAAAAATATATTCCAATTCCTTTTTTACAGACATAAGATATGTATATAATGGTAAATGTATAAACGTTTCCATACGTTTGCAATTTCATTTTGGCATGAGAACAAGCAATTTTTAAATATCATTGTGTACGATTAAATTATACCAAGAAGCATCTTTTACAATAGATTTTGTAAAAACAATGCTTTATTCAAGAATTACATTTATATTATTTGTCTTGTCGTAATTATTATGTTTTTTTTCTAAAGACTCGAGTTTTATATTATTTAGATACAAATATATGAATTTTTATTTGAAAGTTTTCATTGTAAATAAAATTTTTACGAATAAAATAGTTAAAAATGTTTTCACGTTGTATTTTAGTTTTTCTTACCACTATAGTTTACTAACATTTTATTTTTTAAGTAAAAACGAAAAATTGCTATTTATATATTATTGTAATATTTTAATATCTTTTCATGACACCCTGTACATAGGTACTATCGATAAAGAATTTGTAATGGAATACGATACATCGAATCATTCGATTATACCTGTTGCAGAATCGCTTGGTAAATTTATTGGTGTGTGGTGAATATCTTAATAATACACTGTTAGTTTAAAGGGATTGGGGTTACAAAATTAATTGGAAAAAATGGAAAGAAGTTTGGAAAAAACGTTGGACGACGTGTAAGTTGAACATAAAGAAATCTGTATTGTATATTCCAAAGAAAGAGTACACAAGACAATGTTTACATCCTGTATACAATGGAATTTTTTACAAACAATCATGTTGCAATTAACATTCCATTATAAAATTAATTTTTTATTTGTTCGTATGTAAACAAAAAATATGTACGTATTCACTTAACCTTGACAATTGAATAATATTAATTTTTTTCTAGAAATAATATGGATGGTATTATCGGTTGTATTTTGGCCGATCATACAGGATTATGCCTAGGAGGTATTTCCTTTTAAGTGTATTTGATGTTATGAGTAATAAACAGCAATGGCACTACTATAAATAATAATTAACTAATAAAAGTACTATAATTTCTGTTTAAGCTAAAGGAAATGCATCCACGGAAAGTGCAGGTATAATTGCAGCTATTGCAGATCAAGTTGCAAAATTAGAGGCAGACTCACCGACTGCTGTCATAGCCCTTCAGAATGATAACAGGTAATATAAAAAGTTTATATAATTTAATAGTTATACTGCATTAATGAAAATTAAACATGAGAGTTTAAATAACTAACCAAGAATTTATTAAAACAATTGTGAAACTGAACAAGTTCTTACAAGTTGTACTGAAGTAGGAATACAAAAGGACATTGTAATTAATTTTATAGGAAATGCCTTATACAACGCCAAGGTCCTGTGGTAGGTGCAATTTATAAGGACGTCTCTATATAAAATAATTATTGTTATTCAAACTAGTAATACTGGTATATTTAAGCTAAATCTCATTATGTTTAGAATTATCTTGTTAATTGTACAAAATACATGTATAGAAACTCTGAGTAAAATAATTTTAATGTAATTTCGTTGAGATAGGGGGATTCGCACTTGCTTAACTTGAATCATAACAGTATAGAAAATACATGATTATTGGATTTTAGAAAATTTACATAATGTCCACATCGCAGTACCCTTGTAGATAATTTTGTATGCAATAAATAAACCAACATTATTAACAAAGTTAAGGTCAGTCACTCTTCTTGTGCCTATTTCTTCTTTCATACCACTTGTTTGTGCCAAGCCTGATTAGATCGTGATGCTCATAAATCCATGATATCAGTACAATTATGAACATGATTACTCCAATAATTAGATGCAAAACTTTCTCATCAGGAAAGAAGTAAGCCTGGAACAAAGAAACAGTGAATTGTAGTCCATAATTTAGGATGATCTATGAAAGATAAAAGACAATTCTTTTACATGAGACACATTGGTGACTAAGGCTGCTACAAGAAGAGAAGCAGAGAACATAGGCTTTGGCACTAATCCTCGTAATGGACGGTATATCGTGTCGTTATATCTCCTGTTAATGAAGATAGTAGAATGCAAAATCCTTAAGCTCATGTTCACGCAATTCCCAAGAATAAAACCAACTGGTCCAAACCAAATAGCAAACAAATATGATGCACCCAGAAACGCAATTGATTCATAAATCATGATTAAGTTGCTCTTGTTTATAGTTGCACTATCAGCCGTAGCATTAGTATAACACTCTGTTACACCATTTATGCCCAAAAGTAAAATGGCTAGACAGTGTGCTCGCATCAAGAGTATAGGCAGATGTGAAGTTAATTTTGCACCTCCATATAACCATAACAGAGTGCTTGAATATGATTGTCCAAATACTAATACAACTAGACCGATAGATGTAACAGCTGAACATAAATGTGTAAGAACATTTACACTTTCCTGAATTTTTACCTAAAATATATATATATATTTTAAATAAATTTATATTGCACTTAAATTTCTCATTTAATACCTACAGGATTCTGATCATTGATTGATTTATCCCGTTTAATCATTTGGGTGAAATAAAAGTACCCACTTTCTTCTATTGGACGGAAAATAAATCTTGCTGCTAAAGAACCTAAATTATTTACAATTTCGTATGTTCCCTGTGTAAATAAGAGAACAAAATTAATGTTCGAAAAAATTTATAACTAAATAGTGATTTAATACTAAGTACCTGTTCAGTAAATGTTAATACTGGCATTACTGTCATAATTAATCTCTCTCCCTCTGTCAAAATTTGCTTTAAAATTCCTTGTCTAAAGAAACTCCATGTTAAAACAGACAATTTTTTATCTAAATATGATTCCTGAAAGATAGATGGCTACATATTCAAAGTATAAGGAAGAGAAATTTTAATACGCACTTTATTATCCAGTTGTCCAGGTAAAAAATCAATTATTGCTTGAAATGGAAATTCTCTAACAACATACTCATCACTATTATCTTTCAGTGACATTCTGCGCTTCAACTTACATTTATTTATTCTTTTGATATAATAATGGAAATATCCATAGTGACTAGTAGTATAAAAGATAGCCGCAACTAATTGAGCTACTCCAAATGCAAATAATGCATTGTCTGGATTGTAAAGTATTAATGGAACAAATGTTAAAGTACGAATAGCAATCATGATAGTATCAAGAATAATCTGAAATATTAAACAGTCACATCAAAGTATTCTAAACTAATAAAAATAGTTTTAGTGAAAACTCGTACTTTCAATCTAACAAATAAAAATGCACTAGCAACCAATTGAACAATCAAAGATGACAATTCAATGACACAAGACAGAGCGACTGCCCAAACTGCAAATGTGTAATATGCTGGTAATGCTTCAGATGCTGATAAAACAAAGAGCCAAATGTATCCAAATATTATAGACATTATACAACATATAGGAACCCTGTAATAAGACTTCAAGATAGTTTCTTCATCAAATTTAAGACATCATTTGTTTTATAACAAATTGTTTTCAAAAACTAACGTCATCCACAACAGATTAACAACTTGTGCCCAATTATGTTCTGCTGTATTAGTTAAGCATGCTTTCATAAATGGTTCTCTAGACAAGAACAAGATCATCGACTCCAATAAGAGGAGCCTCACATTTATAACACCCAGAACTGCTTGACCAACATGTCGAACAACAAATGCATTCAAAACAAACGTAACACCACGACATAGTATCTACAAAAAAATCATTATAATTGATTTTCGGATGGTAGCTTAGATTCCTGAAAATATATCATTTTTAGAAAATAATTGATGAAAAGAAATTGACATAATTTAAATGATGAATAAATGTAATATAAATTTTTTTATTGTATTCGAAATGACAATCATCATGAAATAATGTGTTATGTTGGTACAATAAGTGTGATACGATTTGCTACGTTGGCAAAATACCTGAAATATAATATTGAAGGAAGCATTTTCCAAGCTGCTTTTCAAAATGTTTTGAGACATTTTTATGGGCGACCAAGCAAAAGTATAAAAATCTTTCGAGATTCCCGCCCAAAGGGGTGTCAATGAAATTTCAAGGTTATGTGAACACTTGAATAATACCTAAAACATCGAGTCAATCATTTTCTTCAAAATTCCATTCGTGATCCCGATTGATTGAAATGCAGCATATACAAAAGCCAAGAATTTCCTCATACTGCATCTAACAGCTTTCATGACGTAATTGTGTCGCGATTTTCTATGTATATATATATGTCATAGATACCTAGCGATTCTCTATCACGTTTCATCTATTTAGTCTAGTGGAAAAGCGCCCTCAAAACGAAAAGCTTATCCTAACCTTAAGGACGATAGTCCTTCAAAATGTAGAGGGTTAGGTTAGGTCCGCTAGCAGACGACAACAGGAGGAACAGCCGAAAGCAGACAATCATCGAAGTAATGTAATCACGTTTTTGAAAAACTACACGTGTTCCTGGTGTTTACGTGGTAATTTCGTTACGTGGGTGAAAAATGTAACAATTTTTAAATAAACGCTTTAATATTGCTTTCAATAATTCATCGTCACACTGTCAAAAAATTGTTCTACTCTAGTAATCACAGCTGTTACTATAATAGTTTATTTAATTCAGTGACACGTTTAACACGTTTTATCACTACATTTGATGTACAAACATTGATATCTAAAAATATTAATCCATTAGAAAAAAAGTTGTACTAACCAAAAATGTTTCACGAGCAAGATTCTGCGAACACCGTAAACATGAAAAATTCATTCCTTACATCACTTATAGTAAGTCTATGAAGTTGTATTTATGATTAATGACATAATAACTGCTCCTAAATCGCTTCATAACATCGTACGATTATTCCCGTTGTATTTGCAGTTTACTTTTATACATAAAAATGAAATTTTACTTATAATTTTTATTTCCTTCTTAAACAAACTTTAATCTATAATTTGCCTTTTGAAATACGTCTCAAATAGTGTGAGAATAGGTGAACTACAAAAATAGGAGTTGCTCAAGATAGGTAACATGAAAGAGGATAATTTACATTACTAAAATGAAAATGAATAATTCAATTGTACTCATCTATTTTTATATAAGGTTAACAAATTTTGTGGTTACTTTGGACAGTTTATATTCAAACATTTTTTATGACTATTTTATGTAATTAATGGATTGAACATTGCTATACCCAATGTGGATATACTTTAATGTTACCATTAAATAATTTGTGATTATTATCAGTACTTATTTGCTATGCAAATACTCGTGAATAATAATTTTATATATGCAACAGTCAGGTGCCCTTGCAGGAACGATTTGTGACTTAACATTTTTTCCTCTGGATACACTGAAAACACGTTTACAAAGTCAACATGGTTTCATTAAATCTGGTGGTTATAAACGACTATATCAAGGAATAGGTCCTGTTATGGTAGGATCCGCTCCATCAGGTAAATTTCAATCAAGTCATAAAACTTTACATGCATTTTAATCATTTTCAATGATTGTCAGAATGTGACAGTCTCTATTTACCAGTAATATCATAACAGTTTATTGTTCACCAAATTGTTCTTAATATCCTTCATTAAATTCTCATTCTGATTTCTTATATTCTATTGAAAGCATTAAGAAACGCATTGTTTGCAGCTGCAATATTTTTTGTGACTTATGAAGGGATAAAAGATGTCTTTCAACCTCGTATACCTCAACAGTATCATACATTAATACATATGACCGCCGCAGCATTAGGAGAAATGGTAAATAAAATTATAAAAATTTTAAACAAATTAATCATTTTATTACATTAATTAAATACTTAATTCTGAAATACCTTAACATTTCTAAAATCGGGTTCTTTAAAAAAACGTTGACCGATTTATATAATTTAAATGCGGGGGACTTTTGCTTACAGGTCGCGTGCTTAATTCGAGTACCAGTAGAAGTAATGAAACAAAGAAAACAAGCATTTATACATGATGAACAAAGGTTACAATTAAGAACGTTATACCGCGGTTACGGGAGCACTGTTATTCGCGATTTGCCGTTTGGTTTAATTCAAATGCCACTATGGGAATATTTTAAACTTTGTTGGAAAAGACACGTAGAACGTGATTGTACGCCAATGGAAGGTGCCATTT